GTTTCCCAGACACAATGGTAGTTAATCAGTTACCTGTTAAAAAGAGTTCGACAGTTAAACTTATAAGTAATGTTCGGCAGGGTACTTGGAATCTCACTATATTGCTCGACATTCACGCATACAACACAAGGCTTTGTTCACGAGTCGGCCACACTAAATTGAAAGCGAGGTAAAGTCCTCATGTTTGGAACTTGCAAAATAGATATGAACGCAATGAAATTATTTACAAATTAAAACCAGTCTGCTCTGATGAATAGTTTAATAATGTGTGATTAAACATACCCAAATGTTTTAAGCCGCATTTTAAAAAAAATGAAAGTGAGGCTCAAAAAGTCTGGCAACATCCCATTCAATCGTTTATAATTTATAAGATACTTCCTCGCGAATACGGTCTGTGATTCGCTTTCGGGATACGTATGCAGCGCTGGTTTATAGGATACGCATAAGCCTATATACGAGGTATAGCGCTGACCAAAAAGTGATACACGTTATGCTGTTTACGTGCCCGATTAAATAATGCAAACTTGTGATTTAATTTGCGACTTGTTATCCTCCGAGCCGCATACGTTTCCCGTACCGGTGTACCCGCACCACTTCTAAAGGCCCTTCATTAGCGTCAGAGCAGGGGCGGATCCAGTGCAAAAGTGAGGGGCGCGTTTCTGAAAACACGGAGTACCTAAACATTGTGCACATCAAAGATGCCATAGTTTTCTGTTTGTTTCCCCGATGAGGTGAGAAACTAACGCCTACCTTCTCACAGCTAGGCTCCTCCCTCCCTTTCCCTTCGTCACTCCCTCCCTCATCGGCAAATTATAGCCCACCCCTCCCCAGAATCGAATACGACGATATTAAGCTTTCACTTTTCCACTGACATGTGCAGCACATTAATTTAATGTTATCAAATTTTAACGCGTTACATGCAAAGACCTTCGGATAGGACGTGTTACATTTTGTTCAGAAAAAAAACACAATATTATTTTATTGATTTTGACCGAGAAAAATTAGGACTATTGATGTGGTAACTTGCATTGTTAAATCGATTTTTTATAAGCTGAGAAAATAACTTTGTTTTGTCATCTATAAAACAAAGGAATCCACTTTTTATCGAAGTAACGATTTCGTTACTTCGCAATGCATGCAGTTTCAAAGACAGCAGTTTCATACATTTTTAAGCACATTTTCTGAGAATTGAAAAAACATGGCTACCGAAAATTAGTTGTATATAATGTTTGGTTTAAAACCATGCATTATATACAAATTATGCATGTAGTATTCTCTGGACATCAGTAGACGTTCTTTGCATATGAAACATCGGTAGACATATAGATATTTTTCTCATCTCTTCGATTTGGTTGTAAGGTTTTTACTGTGTATTTTAAATGAGATTTCTCAAAGAAGGCCTACCAAAGATAAACTGGAACTGGTTCTTTGAAAATTCTTTACGATTATGGGTTTTTTGTGTGTGTTTTTATTGTATGAACAGAAAAATTATTTCGGTAGTGGTATTATTATTTCCACTTTTTGTAGGTTTCGTGTGCGTGTCGCATTCCATTACATCTTTTGAAGAAAAAAAAATATCCAGTACGTGGATGCCATGACACGATACAGCTTGCGCAACTTGCATGAAACGTGCCTTCCTTTTGTGTCCTTCCGCGTGGTGGAAATAGTCCAGCATCTAGAAGAACGCAACTGGACGTCATTGGTCGAGTGGATGCGAGCCTCGCCAACATTATAGCATGGCTCATATTTGCAGCCGTAAATTCTGTCTTTATTCAATTTATTTTATAAATTAAATATTTTTGATTTTCTTTATTAAATCGATTATATTTTTATCTTTCGATTCATCTTTTCGTGATTAAAATTCCTCTTTATTACTTGCAAAATTTGATGGCATCAGCTAAAAAAAAAGATGATCACGCGATAATTGACCATGCGGTGAACCCGATTCTTGCATATACATATACCTCCCGATGTGCCCATAATGACAAAACACTAAATTACATGGATTACATATAATGTTTACAAAAGGCATTTGTAGGAACACAATTCGGAATTCACCAAGCGTTACGCCATTAGTAATAACTAGGCAATAATTCATGACGAATGTAATAATAATACACGACTAACACGCGCAGAGGCAATTGCATTGTAAACCCACGGGAGAGTGTCAAGCCTTTCATCGTTTTGCGTTCTATGGTTCTGTAATTCTTCACCCATGAGACTAATCGCTAAAATGATTGACGCTGCCACTATTTCTTGAATAGATGAATGTCCTTGCCCTGCGCTGTCATTAACCATGTTGCGAAGGTAATTGTAAGCCAAATCCCTTATAGCCGGTATAACCACCGGCTACCGGCTCTCCCTTTTCAAGAGACAGTACGTCCTAGAATACTCCCAATTGGCTACAAAGCGCGTTTTTAACAGAATGATGTTAATCGAAGAGAACATTTAAAAGTAGGATATAAACATCCACACAACTGTCCTTTAAAGCTATAGTCCATCATTTGCAGCCATCCAAAAAGTAACTGGCGTAATTATTGTTGAAAAACAAACTTGGTTGAAAGATAGTAAGTGGACTAAACTCCCTGTGAAATGATTCTTTCTGGGAAGCTGTCATTTTGAAGTAATCAACGAAAGAAGGCATTTCCAACGGTGATTCTTAAGAAGCACCGTAGGAAAATTTAAATTAGTAGTTCGTTTTGTTATTCAGCGCAGCGCGCACAAGTATTGGAACGACGCACACGCGCGCGCGGTTGTTGTAATTCGTCGAATCAGTGCGCGACGTCGCGTATAGCTGCAATTCAAAACAATTCAAAACATGATTCAGTAACTTTTGATTTGAAATTGAGATCTTAGAATGCTGTTTTTCTCGGAATGTACAGCTGAAGCTTAGCTGAAACTTCATCAGGTTAGTTGCTCAGTATCCTTCATTAGATTTTGAACTCTTTTGTTGCTTCAAACGAACAAAATGCACAAATTACAAATGATGGACTGTAGCTTTAAAACTGGGCGTTTTTGTGTTATTCTTGTGTTATTCGTGCCAGAACGAATTTCGGGGGCCGGGTCCATTTTTGCGACCCCCAGAAATCGGACTGGTCAGTGATAGTTGTGATTCCAGCCGAAAAGTGTTCGCCGTCTGTGGACGTAATCAAATTTGGGCAATGGTGCTGTGTGTAATTTATGTGACACGCGCAGCGTGTATCATACATTGAATGAAAACGACAGGAAAAACGTATGTGTACTCTGTCGTGTCCGATGTAAACAACCATTTTTTCCCCGTCTTATCTCGGGAACGGTAAGACATTAGTTTACTTTCAACTAGATATGTTAAATAGTGTAAGTGAACAATCCAACTACATGAAATGTTCGGGGATTTCAGGCCGTAATGCCCCTTTAATCAACAATAACAAAGTGAAGTTTTCAATAACGAATGAATTTTGAAAACAAATGGGAAATGAGACACGAACTCGCTTCCAGGAAAGCCAGAATAGCCATCTCGGTCCACTTCTCAGACAATACAATGATCTAGTATTGGCTCGACATGCAGCCTATTAGAATTTAATGTTGTCGTTCTCTGTGTACATTATTGAACAGTGTGCGAGAAATGTGCGGGAAAAAAACACCATTAAAAAAAGGTTAATCTCATGCATGCACTCCTTATTCAACGTTAAATATGAGCTCATAGGCCTAAAGCAAACGCTACTTGTTGACCAAAATGTACAATTTTTCGAGTTTCCATATCTTGGAATCTCCGGCTATGGTATGGATATTTAGTTCCAAATTCAACTCAGTATGTTCTTTAATATTGTGTCGGTTATTATGTTGTTTGTACATAGTTTTGCAGTCATAAGGCAAAGACTTTGGTTATCTCTGAAAAATTTCGTTGAAAATATTTATAAACGCGTGTGTTGATCTATGCGCCATACAAGAGCGGCATGTCGCAATCTACAGTGCAAGTAAAAACTGAGGACTTTCACTTTCAGAACAGCTTTTTGGGAATGACGCCATCTTTGGAGTTCTTATTTTTGTTCATTTTGTTTATTTATGCGGGGAAGATGTAAAAAAAACCTGTTAAATGTCAGGGTTGGAAAGGAATCAGTATTTGTGGAAGGAGGTGTGTTTAATTTCTGTGTCTTCCATGTGTCGTTGTAATAAGATATGGTTCGGGATTTGTTGGTTTTTGTTTGGCTATGGTTTGGCCTGGTTTTGATGAGGGATGTTGATAATTATCCGCCTGTAGTTTTACAATGTTTTAGTTGATTTGGTTTGGTTCGGTTCGGTTCGGTTCGGTATGACATTACTTGGTTTGGTATGACATTACCTGGTTTGGTTTGGTTTGGTTTGAATTTTTTTGTTTTGCCTTGGTTTGTTTTGATTTGACCTTGACTGACTCAGTTGGACAACAGCTTAGAGACCACAGTTAATCCGTTTTCTTATCTTTCATGCCGAACAAACATGTATGTTTTGGTTCGACTGAGTTTGGTTTGGTTCGGTTGCTTTGCTTTGCTATGCTTTGATTTCCTTTGCTTTGGTTTGGTTTGGTTTGGTGGTTTGTTTTTGATTTGGTAGACTTGTTAGGTTTGCCTTGGTGTGGCTCAGTTCGGTTTGACTTGGTTTGGTTTTGGATTGGTTTGACGTGGTTTTTTTTGGACTAATAGTGGTTTCGTTTTGTTCTACTCTCTAAATTCCAAAGAGTGAAAATTCACTCCATTCGAGTGAAGATTCACTCTCACAGTCGGAAAATAGGGACTGGACGTTTTAGAGTGAAATGTCTTTAATCGTATAAAGATTGAGTTTTCACTCGAGCTTCGACTGAAGTAGTTCCTTTTTCAGACTATTTCAATCGAAAATTAGATTGATATTTCACTTTAAAACGTCTAGTCCCTAATTTCCCTCTTTGGAATTTAGAGAGTACTTGAAGTGGTTCGACGGTTTCTTCGATTCGTTTTTTGTTTGGTTATGTTAGGAGCCAATACCTGTTTATCTGTTTATTTGGTCTTTTCTTTTAACAAGGGGATGTTCAAAGCATGGCGCTGCCAAGGTTTACATGTCACCATCACCATGCAATTACAAATTCAGCAATAGTCATGCTATAGCAACCAGTTGCCATGGTGACGTAGCGCCAAGGTAATCATAAAGACGACATCATAAAGACGACGATCGATGTGGATAATTGCCGGAGCGATCAGACGTGACAAATGAAAGCTTTCACATTTTTAATCTACCAAGGCTTGACCAATTGTAGTTTTTTTTTAATTTCAAATAAGAAGTACGATGCATTTAGTTTTGGACATACAGCTTTACGAATATTCGCTCCTCAAGATTACTAATAACTCTTCTGGTGATATTTTGTATAATAAATATAACACAAATTATCACTCCCCCCCCCCCAAAAAAAACTACTCGTCCAAATATCTTCTTTTGCCGTTTTGAGTTTTGTTTGTTCTCAAGGTTATATGCACTTTTTATATAACCATGTTGCTTTTGTACATGCTATTTGTCTTTCTGATTACCCATACGTTTTTACTGTATTGTGTTTTTACTTCTTTTTTGAGCGTCTTTTTGCTTGTGTACAGTATTCTTTTGGGGGATGTCGGGCCTTGTAGAGGGTTGTTGCTTTACTTGTTAGCTCCAACTAAATAAATTCGTGTCACGGCAATTCAGGTTGTAACTCACACTCAACTATATCAGAAACAAGGAAACTAAACGAAAAAGGTCCAAAATGAGAAAAACTGCCCTATTTTTGTAGCCATAATTTACGTGCAGATCGCAACGCGCCGAATTATTTACGTGAGCATCGACAGCCTGTTGATTCTCTCAGCCCGAGCCTTGTCACCGCAAGGTTGTGATATTCATCCGCGTGGTTGAGCGCGCCATTCTTTGGCGTTTTTTCCCCCAGCCGAGGAGTGTGAACAGTCAGCTTCGAGAATACTTCTTACTGACGCATCGGCGGGAGGCCGGGGAAAATTTTCGAACGCTCTCAGCTCATCAGACACTTTTTAAATCCTGTTCTTGGAGAGAAACAGTTTCGATTGGCATAGGATTCGGTCATTCTGTTCTTGTCACCTAGTTCTCGGGAGTCTCTGGAACACACACTCCCCGCCACCATGACGAAATACCGCCCGTTTGTTGGATTTTTATGGCTGGCCGTGTGCGCTTTGGTAAGTGTCTTTTCCGCACTTCAGCTCCGTGATGAAAATAACGGTTCTCCTTGACAATATGTTTGACATCGTCGTTTCTCAGGGAGAATACCAAATTGTAATCGCATGGGGATTGATTGACGTTGTTTTAATCAACGAGAATTTTATGTAAACTTTATTTCCTTATATTTTCCGGTGTCTCAGAATTGTCACTTTCATCAGCTTAGAAATTCTATGGTCGGTGTTAAAAAGTGGTATAGTGTGAGGTTTATTTCGCTATAATAAGGTATAATTAAATTACCAGTAATTGTTAAAGCCCGTTGGGTCGTGTATCGAGGTAGTTGATGAATGAGATAGTACGATATATAATTGAATGTATGGGACTCTTTTGCGCGCAGATCGTGGTCTCAATTTTAACGCTTATTCACTATTGTTGTCCATGTCTTCTAGCGCTATAAGCGTATTGGTGTTTGCTTAATCGCGGGCCGGAATACGCATGTTTTACAACATGACAGGTTTTCTCTACCTATAGCCCAAGTTAATAATTTCTCAAGTTTTGTTTTCGTGGTGATTTTGTCATTGTCCATGAGCATGCTTCGTGCAAGTGCCCCTCTCGCGGTTATAAAACAATGTGCCCCCTCGAGATGCAAACAAAACTGCCCTGAAACGCACACGTATGAAAGCATATGATCACGCTACAATTAAAATTGTCTCATCTCTTGTAGGCATAATGCAACACTGCCCCTCAAAAACACTACCCCTCTCGCATTAACAAGAATGCGCACCTTCACGAGATGGACAACCACCCCTCGAAAGCACAATTACCCTCTCGCAATAAGAAAATGGTGCCCCTCTCCAGATGGAAAATCGGCCCCTATAAAATAATAGTGCTCTTCACGCGAATAAAATTGTCACTGAACTGGACATCAAAAGCAACAGTGCCCCTCTCGCGATAAAAAAAAATGGTCTCTCTACATAACTAGGTAAAAGAAACACAATGAGCAAGATGGACAACGTATTCATAATGTGTTCCTCGTCATATAGGTTTATATTGAAATGAACGGGACCATATTCTTTTCCTCCACTTTCACACCGACGGAAGGTGCCCTTTTTTTTCTGAGCAAGTGCCCCTTTTTGGTGTTGCCCCCCCCCCCCCCAGTTTGAAAAGCGTTCCGCCGCCACTCACCCACGCATGCTTATAATGCGTTGATAACAAACGTGTCACGGACAAATCGGTCTTGAAAAGCTTAAAGCCCTCAAACAGCAAGCGTAGGAAAATAGTGCACAATTAGCTGTGTGTATTCATTACTATGCACTCATTCTCGACCCCCCCCCCCCCCACAAGCCCACCTTGGCGCCCCACCCCCTCAGCGCCAAAATATTCTCCGCACATGCATTTTGTAATCTAATTACAATACGGTATCATTCCAGTATCTGTGGGCAATTTCGTGTACCGGTACATTGATGATAAAACTCGTGGAGTAAACATAAAGTCAAACTAACATTTGGTTCATGCATTGTTGCCAAATAGTTCTCAATCAGTATAATGGTCGACAAATAAACGTACGTCGACTGTAATCTTTACTGTTTTTGTTTAATTGGTAACTTAACATCACAATTTGCCAGAATTTTGTAACAAGCCCCTCCAGAGCGCCGTTCCAAATCGGTAGTACCTAAGGCCAAAAAAAAAAAGTCTCCGGTTTCTGGTATGGAGCTTGCGCAAAAAATGGTGCGGCGACGCGGCTTTTTTTTTGTGTACCTGATTTTTTTGGCCTCAAATGTCGGCTGATGACTGCAAATGGTGCCCGACTAAACTTAGTGCAAATATATGGGAGTCCAGAGAGGCCACATAAAGCTTATTCTCGATCATAACCCCATCCAAAAACTCGCTAAAATTGTGCAGCAGCAGGATTCCAGTCAAACCAGTGAGTTTGGCGGTTTTGAGACATCATCTTTCTTTGAAAAAAAAAACTTTTTCATTTTGCCGACGCGCATGGCTACGGCGACGCGCGCGCATACCAGAAACCGGAGACTTTTTTTTTTGCCTTAAACGCGTAATTAGTTTGCTAGTTTCGCTCGAGACATGTCGCCCCATATAAAATTATCTTGTAGTGTTTGCGAAAGCTATATCACATTATAATGAAACAATGTCTAAGCACATAATCCATATTGAAACTGTAAACATCTTAACATGCCCAAGACCTGTGACTGACCTAGTCCTGGTAATAATAAGGTTCCGAGTGATCGATTGGACGTGAACGAGTGTGTCCGGCCGGCCGTATCGATCATGCAGACTCATGACACCGCCGTGTCTTCTCTGATGCCAAAATGTATGGCGCGCATTAGTGACATTTATTGCCATCCACATTGCCGTTAAATGCATTTCAAGATATCCCTCATAGCATTTTGAGATACTTTGAAATACACTCGGTGATATCTCTCAATTATTGTTAAGAGATATCTCGAAATTGTATCAGGATATCTTAAATTCGATTTAGAGACATATGTATTTGATTTCAAGATAAGTTGAATTCGATTTCAAGATAAGTTGAATTCGATTTCAAGATATCTTGAATTCCAATTCAAGATATCTCAAGATATCTTGAATTCTATTTCAAGATAAGTTGAATTCGATTTCAAGATATCTTGAATTCGATTTAAGATATCTTGAATTCGATTTCAAGATATCTCAAGATATCTTGAATTCGATTTCTAGACGAATTCGATTTCAAGATCTAAATGTCACTCTAAATACGTGCCATACAAATGGATCTGTTTATTGTTTTCGTTGGTCGAGAAGATCAGGCGTTCGTATAAGAAGAAGCAGTCTGACTTTTCGGAAAGTATACGCTTTCTGGTAATTTGGATTAACAAAATATGCCACATTGTCTACTCTTTATCGCCCTCGTTGCTCTCCCCCCGCCCCTCCTTGATCTGCCCTTGCCACCCACTTTACATCCCTTCGTGAAGCGGTTAAATTTGAATAAATGAAATACACAAGGGTCTACCCACTCGAAGTAGCGCCGTCCTATCGGTCGCACCCATTGCACCACGCAGTGACGTATCGTGTGCACAAAGTCCATAGCGTTGCAGAGCCAGTAAATATACTGCCATTAGGCATCAGTGATAATTACGTGCACTTCCCAATTTTTATTTCTCACAACTCTCCAAGGTGTTTGAGACACACATCAAATTAAAGCTTATTTTCATCATATTTCAGGTTCCATTGAATTTTTTGGGGGTTAACTTTTTTTGAAAAAAAATTCCATCCAAAGATGATCACCCCTAAAGGCAGTCCTGAAGCCCACGGACGTTTACGCTCCAAAACAGAGTCATTTGAGGGCCTAATTTCATCCCAATTTCACAGAAATTCGGGCTCGCAGTCCTCTGCATTTTTTCGCAAATCCTCAAGTTCACGGCCCTCAAAATGCTCTAATACTTTTAAGAATTTGAGGGCATGAAAATCGTGATTTGGCCGGGGTAGGCAATTTTGGGCCTATTTACAGGTCTGCACCATTATACGATCGTCACTTCGTGGTGCGCATTATTGTGTCCGCAATACTTCATAAAGGCTAATGACTTTGTGCAGGTTTTTCCGATGGACTTTCGTTTCAAAACATCGGCGGGCTTGATTGTTCATTGTTTATATAAACAACTGCAGATCGTGGTTTCATCAAAATTGTCGGACTGACAAACCACTTTCTGTTAATATTGACAACCCTTATAGAAAAACAGTGCAAATCGTGGTTTCATCAAAATTGTCGGACTTGCAAACCACTTTCTGTTTATATTGACAACCCCTTATATAGAAAAGCAGTGTTATGGTTGGCTTTCAAGGATATTAATATTGCATTAATAATACATGCTCACATCCACTTCATTAATTATTCCTGTAAACACCACGTATTTTTCCCCCGTAAGGAAAATATATAATTTGATTGGTATTTGGGTCGCTGAGCCGAGCTGACTCGCGCTGGTAACAATAATAAAGTATACCTGCCTCACTACATGCAGCGCTCGCAGAATAAAAAATCGATTGACTAATCTCAATAGGTTATGCTGGCCATTAATAAACAAAATGATCGAAGGAACCATTTTTACCTACGTGGATACGGTATTGGCTTATAATATGGGTGTTCCCGGCTATTTTAAAACATTAATCATTCGAATTCACCGTTTCTAATATTCAAATTCGTCCAGCAGCATCGATGTTTGGTTTTGTCTTTTGTCAGACAATTTCAAATTCAGTTGAAGCAAATTCAAACAATGCTGGCACACGTTTTCGTCCCGGAGTATTCGATTTCGTCTCGTCTACGCTATACCTTGTTATTCAGAAATCAAATTCGTCTAATGGATTGATCTGAGACGAATTCGATCTCTGAATGCTGCCATTCGGCAACAGTTTAGACGAATTTGATCTGAAATGCATACAAATGACGAATATTCTCGACCCGGTGACGAAAGAGGTTGACCAAACTTTGAAATTGAATGGTAAATCACTACATTGGTTTGTTAAACAGCGTGTGATTTTTTTTCTCGGGCGAAATTGAGTGTTAGATTTGGTGAGTTTGAATGGATTTAATACCCGGTAAAGTTTTGCCCGCTTTAAGAGATATGGAGTATCCAGTGTTTTGTTGTGGCAAAAGTGCATGTGGCTGAGGTAGACATATATGTTTGCTTTTAAGACAATATGCAGGGTGAGTAAAAAAAAAAAAAAAACAAATGTCGGGACCATTGTTTTAGTGAAGTTCTGCATGTAGCACTTTCTAAATCTAGGATATGAAAGCCCAATTCGTATGATTCCTTTTAGTACAAGAATCATTCAAATCACTCATGTACTTTTCATGTTACGGAATTTTAAACACAACCACCGTTTTAAAGTTCTGTCTGTGTGAACTTATGGTTGAAATGTGTGTGAATCGTTTTCGTTTTGCTGAAAGAACGCGCACCTTTTTTGTGATCCGTGGACAGAACTTTCAAACGCTGGTTGTGTTTAAAATTCCGTAACTTGGAAAAGTACATGAGTGATTTGAATGATTCTTGTACTAAAAGAAAGCTTATGAATTGGGCTCTCATATCCTAGATTTAGAAAGTGCTACATGCAGAACTTCACTAAAAAAATTGTCCCGACATTTGGGTCTCGCTTTTTTTTTGACTCGCCCTGTATAGAGCTGGGATTATAAAGACGAGGCGGCCGTGCAGTGCAGTCCTATAGGACCTATACATTGTATTTGTACAAAAAAATGCTTTTGCAACGTTCTAGCCCATCATGCAGATGTAATGTTATTTTCGCCATATATTAATTATTCAAATTTTGATCCGTGATTCGTAATAGCATTCTTTTCTGGACGTCGGTAAAAAAAAATCACGTTTTCCGGCACAACGCAATGAAAGGCAGACATTTGGCGAGAAAATGCCGACCCGAATTTGAGAACATTGCTGTCAAATTGTCGGGCATTGGCCAACACGACATACACTTAAAAGTAATGGACACACCTGCAGTTGTAGACAAAGATGTGTTTTTTGTCAATTCAATGAACAATAAATCTGAAGCAGGTACTTTAAAAAAAGAACCGGTCGAGATTTTAGCACAGTATGGTTATCGTACGTTTTTGAGAAAAACTGTGAGCTAGCATGCATCTTCATTTTCTCGACGAAAAGTAACGTTCCCGTTGAAAGCCTTCCCTTCAAGAATTGTGTTTTCTTGTGGCATGAATAATTCCCTTTGTGTCAATGAGGAAAATAATGTTCATGCAAAATTTCTCTTTTTTCTTTTGATACATGAAACTTTCGCAAAATATATAAATGCTACATATTTTTAAAATAGGTTTTCCCGGTCAATTTCCTAAAATGTTCCTTCACTTCTGAAAATCGGTCATTCATTTTCGTCTGAATTTGAGAATCGCTCTGAACACGCGTTTCATTTTCGCTACCAGAGCATTCGATTCCATTTCGGTTCAATCAATTAAGTAATTGAACAGCACCTATCGTTTATGTTCATACAAGATTTCCTTTTCGCTTTGAGAGGGCGATTTCAAACATTGACCATTCTATTTCACTTTTAGTTTAATGTTCTGTGATGCTGCAACTTTTCCTCAGATCAGCTGATTTCCTCTTTTTTGACTTGCCATGTGTGCCATTGAAAATAGAAAAACACTGTACAAAGTCTTGGAAAGATTTGAATTTCCTCTTTTTTTGTGTGAATTCCCAGTTGCATGCCTGGTGATGTAATCTGCTATTTTGAATGAGAAAAACGTAATTTTAATTGCACATTCACGAAATAATTGTATTCCAGAACTCTGCGCGAAAAGATATGCTTGCTTAAATGAATGCGCAGGTAACGTAATGTTTCTCAAATGCACGGACAATGAAAACGATTGAACTTTCGTTGAATTGAAATGGGATTAAAGACATGCATTCAAATTCAGACGAAAATAAATGACCGATTTTCAGAAGTGAATGAACGTTTCAGGAAATTGGCCGGGAAAACCTATCTTTTCTTCATTTGGGTCGAGATCATTCTGACTCGCCCTGTAGAGCTGGTACCACATATCGTGTGAAATTAGTTCACCTGAAATGATATCGTACGAAGGAAAACAATCATTGAATGTGGCTTAATAAAGTGAGCCAACGAGCACTTTTTGAGAACAAAACATGACGATTTTCGTCAAATACTGCAAGGCTAGGAGCATCCATCCACTGGGACTTCACCAGACTGAATGAGAATCTTCCCGGGATACACGAGAGGATGCGATTCAATAGCGCATCCTTTTTTCATTGCTTAATTAATGTTTGCATTTCCGACCGAACGACCCTTTTTCGGGCTTCCGAACCAAGAACAAAAAACTTTCGTTTTACCGCGGATCCTATCTGAGCCTAAATTATAGGATTTCCCGGCTATTTTAAGATATTTTCCACTCAAATTCACCAACTCTATATCGTTTAATTTCGTCGTCCACGAAAAATTTCACATGAGGCTTTTAACAAAAGCAAATTAGTGACTTACCATTCAATTTTATAAAGTTTGGCCACCATCTTTAGTCACCGGGTCGAGAATATTCGTCATTATTATTCATCAAGTTCGGGTAAGCTGTTGCCGAATTGCAGCATTCAGAGATAGAATGCGTCTTATATATAAATTAGACGAATTTGATTTCTGAATAACACGATTCGGCGTGGATGAGACGAAATCGAATACTCCGGGTGGAAAACGTGTGTTCATTGTTTGAATTTGCCTGAACTGAATTTGAAATTGTCTGACAAAAGACGAAATTAAACATTATCGATGCACTAAATCGATGTTGCTGGACGAATTTGAATATAAGAATCGGTGAATTCGAACGAATTTTTTTTTAAATAGCAGGGGAAACCTATATTGACAAAAAAGTGAAGAAAAAAAATGAACAAATTCAGGCAATCAGACTCGATATAATTTGAACAGCGATGAAAAATTTGTATCCGAAGCACGGCGTATAACAATGCAATACCAAAAGATGCGAGATAGTTGCCTCGCTGTCAAAATCAGTATCAGGGGTATATGGTTAACATTTGCCATTACGTCAAGGCTTTTATAGCTTGGACGTAAGTATAGTATGGCGCAAGGTGCAGATAATAATGTAAGTCTACAGTTATTACATCTTGCCAAATATGGCTTTATTATTTTGCTCAATGATATCAAACCTGGTAAGCTATTTCATAAACAAAAACAAGAGACGGTACGTATTTGGCATCATTCATTTCTTAGCCAACTTAATGGATGCAACTGCATTCTTTTTTTTTTACTTTTATTGTTCACCGACCGACCGTCCCTACTCTCAAAAGCAAAACAAATGTGAGAACCATGCATGGAAATAAAAAGAACGCCCATATGAAAAGCAAATTTTTTTATCGGAAGTGCTATCAATTCGGAATCTTGATTAAGTATAAAATAAAGCATGCGTTCCAAGTAAAAAAAAAAAAAATAGGTCTCAAATGTGTATCAAAACGCCACGTGATTATACCAAAGAAACTTAAGCCTGTTCCTGATGACGTGAACAAAGTAAATTGGTTGGCGTCGACGAATGTCGTCTACAATTCATGAAACGGGCGCAGGGGCGCTCCTTTAACGTGCTTGTAAATTTGCTTGTTTTCTCTTTTCTTTTTCATAATATGGAATTTGCGTCGGGGTGATGTAAATCAATATTAGGTTGTGCCCTTCACCGACGTATAAACACTGTATACTCAGTGTGTTACCTCCCGAGTGAAAGTTGGAAAAACTCACTCGGGTGGGACTCGATTGCATCACAAGTTGTGGAGTGTGTAACTTTCCCCATTCTGGGAGAGAAAAAAAGGTCCACTGCTGGACGAAACTCGATCACCAGATTGGTTTTTTTTATCAGTGCCGAGCTATCGGGACCTTTTACCTATAAGTCTCTGTATTATTTGTTTTCTTTGCAGACTTGTGATGCCCGAACGTACAACGAATCGGAACTGGACGAATTGTACCTGAGTAAGTTTTTATAATTTCATTGCACTATCACCTAGGTCAGTGTGATACAGTGATAATTCTTCTGTTGCCAATGTTGCCTTTCTTTAGTACAGGGTGAGTCAAAAAAAGCGGAACCCAAACCCTAAAAATTATATTTCATATTTAATAAAATATGTAGAACCAAAAATGATAATTTTCATAATTTCATCAGCTACTTTTAGATGAAAAAAATACTTAAATTGCTCAATCCGTGCGAAAAATATCACCTTTTAAACACATTGTCTCGTCCAAAAAAAGCGATTATAAGAATCTTCTTCACAATAATCTTCAAACATCAACAGCGATAAAACCTCAGTTTTAAAAGTCAAAAATATTCAACAAAGTCCTTTTGAAGGCCCGTCTTTTAAAACAGTGGAACACGTTGCCTAACCAGGGTTGTTTTTAACAATATTGTGTATCACAGTTGTTCCAAACAGTCAAAACACACAATAAATTGCTGTTTTTTAAATATGAAATACATTTTTTGGAGTCGGGGTCCGCTTTTTGTGACTCACCGTGTATTCACCATTTTTGGTAAAAAAATGAATAATTTCTGAAAATTCCCATTTTTATGCTTTTAAAATTAAAACAATTATTCTTTGAGTTATTACACATCAAGGCGATGATATTTGATTTCAAACCAATGCTAGAAGGTACTACACTCATTTTGTGTGACTTTGAACTACAATCTTAATTATTTTTATCATTGAAAAATTCGGCTCAAATGAAGTACTGATGATACAAATATGTACTAAAACATTACCCCCAAACTGATGAAAATGGTGCCAAAATTATGAAAATCATAATTTTGCACCATTAGCTGCAAAATTGGATACCCGTATTGCATTTCATTTGTTCACAGTCCACACTTTTAGACCAAATTGAATATTTGATAGTTTTAAGGCAAATAAAGCATAAATAGAAAGAGATTCAGATGATTTTTTTTGGGGGGGTGGGGGTCATGCAGTTGCAGGTCCAAAATCATATCAGGGATCGACACTTAAGTTATTGAGGCAAACCTATTTCATTCGTTTCCACACTAAAATAATATAGGTTTTCCCGGCTATTTTAAAAGTTTTTTTCACTCAAATTCACCAACTGTTTCATTTACTTTCGTCCACGAAAAATTTCACACGCTTTTAACAAAGCCAATTTAGCCATTAACCATTCAATTTCAAAGTTTGGTCACCCTCTTTAGTCACCGGGTCGAGAATATTCGTCATTACAGATCAAATTCGTCGAAAACGTGTGCTCATTGTTTGAATTTGTTTGGACTAAATTTGAAATTGTCTGACAAAAGACGAAATTAAACATTGGAAGAGCAATAAAATCGATGTTGCTGGATGTAAGAAAAATGTTTTAAAATAGCCGGGAAAACCTATAGTAAAAAAATAAACAGCCTGAGTGATTTACAGGCCTAGGTTGTCCCCCAAAAGGTAACCCAAGAACAAAGCCTAAAGCTATAAACCTATTGAACATTTTTATGGTTTCATCATAAACTGGGAGGAATTCAGGTTTTTCCTGAAAACTGTCCCTAGAGGGTTGTCACGTACCATTTTCAAGACAATGAGGAAGCTTACTGATGCATGACCAGAAAAATACAATCAACGGAAAGCTTGCTGCTCCTAGTTTATGATAAAACCATAAACGTGGTCATTACGTTCATAGTTTGGTCATGCTGTCCCTTTGTTTGTGGGTTACCTTTCTAGCGAAAACCTTGTGTAACACAACTGGATCATAAAATGACCTTTTACTTTTTAAAATTCATTTTAACTCTCCTATGGAAACATGCATTATCAGCCTTGTTATTACTTGGGTCAATATTTGTCAAGACCCCCATGTCAGATTTTCCAAGTATAGTTTCTAAAACCTTTGCTTGGAAATCAAACCGGAAATTGATACACTTCAGATCTATTATTGTATTTAAATCTGAATGAGTTCATTTTTCCTGATTGTGAAAACCAATGATTATCCTGAAAGTTCTTTTTTGGTATGACTTTTTCTCCTGTCTAGATGGTACCCATCTGTATTGGGATGCCAAATATCACTGGGGAATGAGCGACGGCTACAATGAAATGTTGGGCACGGCCGGCATGAAAGTCTGCTTCGTAGAAGGTATGAACAGTGTTGAAGTTGAGTCCCCACAATTCAATCACAATTCAAAGGGTTCCAAGTCAAAAATAATAATAATGATAATAATTACCCTGGATTGGACATTTAGGGGACATCCCCATAGACTTGTGCACACAATTTTTCAAACTTAAATGTGCCCTAACCCAATATTCCCTTGTCCTTTTCCCCCGAATTTCGGTATGTTTACTAATTAGGCATCGAGCAACAAATATAATCTAATTGCGATGATAAAATTTTGCCTCTAAAGTGGGGACTGGCACATTAGGGAGACATGAAAATGTCTCCCTAATGACCGATGTCTCCAGTAGTGTGAAGAATATTACGATAACCTTTCTCCTTAATGGTACCATTACAGGTACATGTATAATGTGTTGTGCCTACAACAACCATTGCACGTATATCCCCAGCCCTATTCTAAAAAGTAAATTTAATTGATTTAAACAATTTTTATGAACCCCCCCCCCTAAAAAAAAACCCATTTTGCCACCCCTCCACAATCCCCCACCTTCAGGAACTAAATCCCGGATGTGCAAAAACATGGCAGGTAATGCTTTACTCTGACATTTTGACCCTTTGTAGGCCCAGAGCGCGAGGCCTTGGTCCTTGGCGAAGAATCCAACTTTAGCTCAGATGTGACCCTGGAGCTACAGCATAGTGAGGACAGTGTGTCTTTGTATTCGGATGCATTTACCGTGGCCTTGTGGTACAGCTTTCGGCCTGTGGACTTCTTTGCAGAGATCAATGACAGCATGGCATGCCACCTGCTGCAACTGGGAGGCAGCCAGAAAAATATAGCAGTAAGTTGGTCGCTTTGTACTTTACTTTATGGTGGAAGGTTGACAGGCAATTGAAAAAAAATCTAAATCGTATCTTGCCACGGTGAGTTACTATCCCTCGAGATAGTAACTGATGTGGCAAGATAGTAGCTTGCCTTGGTGAGATACTTACTCGCCCTGGCGAGATTGTATCTGGCTGTGGCAAGATAGAAGTTTGGAATATTTTCATGGCTTGTGGCCCATCTACGCATATGTAGTACATGAACGTCGACATATATTACTTGTGGGAAATTTTGAATCGGCCAACAATGACAGAATAATATAAAGCAAGTCCTGTGTCCAAGATAAATATGAGTGCGGAACGTACAAGTAAAATAGTAATGAATGAAAAATCTCAGAATATCAGAATTGAAATATTTTGAACATGTAGGGACTGTGTGAGATGTATGCAACCTTTGTAACTTGGTATGGTACTTTCATCTAGAGGGTGGGTTAGAGGGTTGCAACACCCCCACCCCCTCCCCGTTCCGCTGCTGACTAATGTAATATGGTACTTGTAAAATGGGGCAAAAAAATAAATGGAATGCTAAAGTTCCTAAATTTATTCTAAAATTGCCTAAGAATGCAGCAGAAAATATCATATACATTACACACTTTTCCGGGGGGGGGGGGGGGGGGGATCCCCCGGGCCCCCTAGCAAGGCATGCCTTCGGCACGTCTTCACTACCCCCCCTTCATATCAAACGCACCCCTCGCCCCTATCTGAAAGCTAGATCTGTCGTTGACTTTTTCTGAGTTTTCAGTCACTTGTTCACTGCTGAATCTTGGAACACTTGGTTTGAGACTTTGAGTCCAATTGTACGTGTTCTACATAATCCCCGAGGACCGACACACAAAGGGAGAACAACAGATCCTGGAGTTGGGTCTTGTTGGAAACGGTCCTCTGTATAAGTTTGTGTGCTTAGTCTATGGGAGAGTGTTATATTACAAAGGGAAACACAAAGCATTGTCCTCGAGAGTATAGTAATGCTGAGTTCAGTAGTTGAGCAGATTTGTTCCAAAAAGGGGGATGACTGATTCCATTCTTTGTTACTTTTCCAGATTTCTTACGATGGCCTGAAAGAGTACAATTTGCAGTACAGCTACCAGCATAATACTAATACTAAATATGTGATAAACGACGACGCGGACCGGCCACACTGGGAATTTGAAGTCAATGACACCATCAATGGCGGAGTAATCAAGCGAGGCTGGCAGTGGAATCATATTGCTATGGTGTATGATGGTAAAGACTAGTGTACATGTAATAAAATAGTGAAGGTTGTTAGAAATTTGATTTGTAAATAATTAAAAAAACTTCCTAAACAAGTTGCTGATTGTGAGAATACGGTGTATACAAGAACAAAAGTGGAACTTAAGGGAAATGTGCCATTTACCTAAGCAGACGATAGAGTGATAAACAGTGTCTCTTCCTTAGAAAGAAAAATATAAGATGGGGGATTTTTACTTGTTTTTCTCACAGTTATGTAATTTGCTGTTTAGAAACTTTTGTAAAAATTCAGTTTTTTTCCTTCATTTTGTTGTTGTTGAGAATTTGCCCCACATTGGCTGCACTAGCCAAATGAAATGCAGAAAATGTGAAAAAAGAGTGTTTGGACGTTAGGGGAGACCGGAAACAGATTTTTAGGGACCAAGTTCAAATCCCTACTAACGTTAAAGGGAAAATACAACATTTGAAAACATCGAAAAATAAAACTACCAAGTTTTTACGAAATACCTTACTGGGATGTTGGTAAATGACAGTCTAAAGCACCCTGTAAAATTATGGCACCTGTTGTGAAGTCATTTTCAAGAAAATTGTATTTTTGTATACATTTCCAACGGTGGTCGGCCGACCACCGTAGGAAAAACCTAACTATTTTCCAACTACTGCTCCAAATTACCCATTTGTTTCAGTCCAAATTGTGTTTGCTATTGGTTACATGTTCATGAACGGGTGCAGGCCAGCTGGACTGGTTCCCTTACCTTACAATTTTCCGGCATCTATAAATTGATCCATTTCATCTTTAGTGGACTCAGGGAACCAGACTACTTGAACATTTTTGTTTTTCTTGGTTTTTCCAGCATTTTCGAACACAAAACTTCAAAACATGTCAGTGTAACAATATTTGATCTATTATATTAACCCCTCAAATAGTTCATTTCTGAAAATTACAGCGAAAACCAATGATGTACATTCCCTTTAACAGTAAATTTGCAATGCGGATTCATATCTTTGTTCTTTCTGAAGGCCTTCCAAAGTCTCTCTGCTGTCTAAAATATGTGCTTAGTTTTTTAATAGGTTTATATGAAGGATGTTGGCATGCATGTTCCAATAAACATCAGTCACCACATAAAGCTCATGGTTGAAGACCGTTGCATTAAATACTTAAAATCGTGGGTACAAATCAACCTGGTGGATCCAAATGTTACGATTACAGAAAAGAGGATATAGATCCCCCATTTTATGGCTTAGGATATTGCCATCAATAAATGACAGACACTGGCATTTTGATGGATGCAGTGAAAAAAAAGGCAAATCTTGTTTTTCACACTGCAACCTTTCTGCACAATTGCATTAAACGAGTGCATACCTTGATTTGAATTTGGAAGGTGAAAGAAAATGACCACAAATATATTGGGTCATCAACATCAAATTGGAACATAATGTTCGCAGAGGGTGCTGTTTGTGTTAATTAACATCTCCAAAAAAAATAAATTTTCTTATTGAATATTTATTGCAAATCCAGGTTCAGTGCTGACAGCGTATTACAATGGTTTCAGCATCAACAAGACAATGGAAACTGTGTCTTCTGGTATGGAGACTTTGCCTTATAAGCTGTCTCTCAATGTTCCAAAGAATGGCAAAACCGCTTGCAGCCCTGTCGGTTTCGACGAGGTAGCCTTCTGGCCAAAGGCACTCAAGCCTGACGACATTCTGGCCCTGCGAGTCCACGTCGGCCGGAACCGAAGCCTGGACGAACCCGAGCCCACCACTGAAGTCCCTACCACCACGTTGCCCGATACCACTGCCGGCGACACCACGGCCGGCGACACGACAGCTGGAGACACGACTGCTGGAGACACCACAATGAGAGACTCAACGGCTGGCGACAGCACCGCTATGGATACCACTGTTGGGGATTCAACGTTTGAAGACACCACTCTTGGAGAAACCTCCCCCGGCTTGGATGGTGATTCTACCATTCTATCAACCACGGTAACTGACAGCACCCCAGAACAGTCCACCAGTGAGATGTTGTCTACTGACGCACCCACAGACAAACAAAGCACAGATGGTAAGTGTTTCGGCCCTCTAGTGTTTTAACTACAATATGTCCAAATGTGCCTTGTGGTAAACCTCACATCTCCACAGCATCCCTTTTGTCTTAATCTAAAGGTCGGTTCATACTTCAACTTTTGCGAATCCACAGCGCGAAAACTATTTGCGTTCACTTTCACGCCCAGTATATGAACCAGCCTTAAAACATGGTGAGATGAGCCCAGTAAACTGTAAGCTGGTTCCTGAGTGCACACAGTTCCAGAGCCATAAATATATAGAGAGAGAGTTGTGACATGAGAGTCGCACTGTTTAGAACCAAAATGGCGGATTATGCATTAATGCACATAATTCGTACACAATAGTCGCACGCTGCACTGTACACATAGTGAATGGCCATTATGGTTCAACAGTCTGAAGTTGTGGCAACTCTCTCTCTATACGGCTCTGCACAGTTCTGTTTCAATTGCTAATATGCCTATTCACTGGAAGTCTTTTCATGCTGTCTGGTCTATGCAATGGGCCAGATTTAGCCAATTTCATACAAACATGGCTGACTGTATCCACCAGTCGACAACCAGCCTAAGCACAAGCAACAATCAGTCAGTCCGAGTTAAATCAGTCATCAGCCAGTCAGTCAGATTGGTGCATATATATATAGAGGAAACATGCCTGGCCCTGGAAGACCAGACAAAAAAAAGGACAACATCAAATAATTTCTTTCCTAAATCTTCTAAAAAGTGACTTTACAATGTGTATCAGGAGGCATGGCACCACGCAGTACAGGAGAACCGGATGGGCGTACCACAACAAGTGTGCCAGTGGCAACTACGCAGTCAGCTAAAGCAGTAGAGGTGGACGAACTGGCAAAGGTAACACTTTCTCCTGTGCGACAGGATTGCATGGAACCATTTTGAATCAGTAAATACTTGTGTATATATCAAATGATAATAACCAAAACGTATAGTGGATTGTGTAATGCCTACGTGTATCAGTGCATATACTTGCCCGCTGTTTTTGACAAGTTGGCCCCATCATCGCCCATTCCTCCCCCCCCAAAAAAAAAAACCCCTCCTGGGTGTAAATAAATGCCAACTTTTTTTTGGCAGTGTTGAGTTGTCTGTGTTGAATTGTATGTGCCTTGATTTCTAATTTTCAGTCTTGATGAGAAATCATTGCTATTGTGCTCAGTAGCAGAGTCAGGTAGTGAGAATTTTGTTTTTTTTGGGGGGGGGAGTTTTTACCAATGAAAATTCCCAAAAATTTCAATATGCGGACCAGCATATGTTGATGTTGATGTTGATGTTTTTGACAACGTCCTCATACAGTGTGCCTCATGCAAGCGGGTTGTGCGCAGAGAGCACATTCAGCATGTTGTTTATTTACGTATGCTTCTAGTCCATCCTTCCCCCCCCCTTTTTTTTTGGTCACGGCGGTGGGGTACACCTAGTCAGAGTATCACCCGTTATCCACGGAGCCAAGTCTCCTGTATAACGTCTGACATGTCAAACCATGCAAATTTATGCGACTCACGCCTCAGCCAATCGGAGTCGACTTTATTAATGGTGATGTCATTTCATTCCCAAATCAGGACTAAAATTGTGAGTGGTCAATTCGAATCAAGTGTTTTGTAATACAACAACAGCCACACGCATACGCACGTTACACGATACAGAGGGCGTGGCACAGGTTTATTTAAATCCATGTCTGGACGCGACAAAGCTGAATGACCGAAGTCCCGATATAGAAAGGAACCGCTGATTGGTCGAAATCTAGAAGTCAAGATGCAGTTGTCTTCCATAATTAATCAGCGAATCTGTTCATGTTACATAGACTAGGGTACAGTCAATCCCAACTCCAACTTGCCCTTTACTTTTTTTGATGGGAGGAGGAGGCCATGGGAGGGGGAGGAGTCAAGGGAGAGGGGAGGTCCGAGGGAGGGGGAGGGTTTGAGCCCCCACCACGCAACGACACTGATTATGCTTTTATTTTCTTTGGTTCAGAGTGTCGAGAATATCACTACTGCCCCATCGCAGGAAGTGACTGCCATCTTAGTTAAGGCAGGGGATATCGTTGGGAATGCTACCGAGGCGGAAACTTACTACATTGCAGACAACGTGGTCGACTTGTTGAAAATCACCTCCAAAGTTCCGCCTGCAAAGGTCAACAGCAGCAGCGAAGAGATTGCCAAATTGAATGATTACAGAAAGGTAATTCGAAAAATGACAAAATTTAACCCTAACTTCCTTGGCATTTTTGCTACTGGCAATCCTGCAAAATCCTCCAACTTCCTCCATGTATAAATTGCATACTTCCTTAATCCTGCAAGATCCTCCCATTATTTCTTGAGTGTGATACTTGGAGGGATGACCACTGTGTCAGCGTTTAAATCCTGCAAAATCTTTCGGCAATCACTGTCAATATGTTGAGGCAGAGCCAGTGACATCCTGGAGCAGTACGGAGGATTTCAGGTATTATCAAAGCCAAAATTTTGCACGGGCGCGCATAAACAACTCAAGGGTCGGCCCAAGGCCTTGATCGACACAGTGCGTCCTCCGAAATCAGCAACACACTTTTGCAATGTAGCCTCAATCCTGCAAATTCCTCCAATTTATAGAGAGGATTTTGGAGGATTTGGGATGGTTAGGGTTAACTGAAAAAGATGACCTAACAATGGCAAAGATTTTGCAAGGATTGAAATGCTGGGCCATCTAATTTTGTTTATTAAGGTCAATCCACTCGGATTTGCAGCAAGTTGTATTCATTTTAAGAAAATCGATTATTTTAATATTGAATTGTTTGCCCTCTTCGGTTGTCCCGAATATACTAAATATATTTGAATGTTCGATCATCAACTGAATATTCGAATAAGTTTTTGGCCAGTTTGAATAAAAAAAAAAAAAACTATGCATGTGCACAAAAAGACTGTGACGTTATTTTAATACTGTAAAACACTCCCGCCGTCCAGCGGACGCAAAGTTTAAACAGTGCGCTTTGGGTGCAACTTTTGACCGGCGCAGCACACAATTGAAGCTGGCGTGTTCAAAACTTAAACAGAGATTTTTGAATAATTGAATTACACATTTGTGAACGGCCATCAAATTCTGGTTATAACAAACATAATGTGTTGGTCCCGACTGTGCATTTATGTGCACAATGAATGGGACTGATGTTCCTCTTAATATGATGTTCCTCTTAATACAAAATTCTGATATAACAAACATTTTGGCTAGGTCCGAACGAGTTTGTTATAACGAGACTCGACTGTATTTGTTTAAAAGCTTTGAAATATAAGGCGCTTTGAGGTTTTTTCCTGTACTTCAAACCATTGGTTGTTCAGTGGTCAATAACGTGAACGAAGGAAGACATTCTGTACAAGGAACAGGTCTACCTGACTTTTCATAATGATCTATGCTATTTATTTTTACAGGCTTTCGTGAATCTGTTTTCGACAGTGTTGGTGCGATGGGAAGAATCAGTGGTACAGTAAATACTTTGTGTTTCAAATAAAAAAGTGATTTTTTTCTTCCCCCGCGATACCCTTGCATATATTTTTTCCCGACCCGAGCTTTCCTGAATTTTTAGTCTCGAGTCTTGCCCATCTTTTGATACCAAAAACGTAAAAAATTCCGACCATGGGTTACCGCGCATTGAAAATTTCGCAACGCTGCGCAACATGAAAACTGCATTTCCCTGTTTGTAGTGTACACAAAGCAGAATTACCATTGGTGCATATGAATTTTGAATAGCCGATAACTCCAAAACCATTCAACCTGTAGTCACAGAAGTTCTTGGGTATGTTCATAGTAAGTTGTTCAATGTATGCACTGAATTTCATAATATTTTGTCACTCAATGGCTGAGATCTGGTGCATATGAATAATTATATGAATTAATTAGCTGATATATGAATTAATTAGCTGATAATTCCAAAACCCTTTAACCATAGTCATTAAATTTCTTGTGTATGTTCATATTAAGTTGTTCTATGCATGCACAGAGTTTCATAATTTTTTTGTCACTCATTGGCCGAGATCTGGGGGGGGGGGGGGGGACGCCCCCAGCTGTGAGAAGATCAAATTAACCTGGCTCATTTAGGGTTAATTATCCAGATATATGACAGTGGTCAAGCCTTTTCTTTTTCCTCCAATAAACTTTTTTTTGTTTTAAATATGTCATTCGCATGAAGTGTTATTGAACAAAATTGAAATGGTTATGTTAAAGGCTCCATGAGATGAATTTTTCTTAGGAACACATTTTGAGCATCTTTCTACTCCTCTTAAATGCATGTTAATTATTGGACATCCCTTTGTGGTTGATATTGAAAAGAGCTCTTCTTTAAACATGTACAATTGAGGGTGATGCATTGCTGTGATGTCATTTCAGGAAGACACTGTTTAGTTCAGGATTTTTTCTGTTCAAATTGTAAACCCAAAAATGAGCTCATTGAAAACATTGCTGAGAAAAGTTTGCTCATTGGCTTATTTACTGCCGTGTACTGATACATGTGCAACAAACAAAAAAAAACCAAATTTACTACAGCAAAATATCTTAATTCTGGCAACTTTTGCTGCTGAAATAGCTGTTACATTGAGGTTTCTGCCTGAAATGACATCACACTTGTGCTCATGAATATGGAAATTGGCATTAGCATAAAAACCAAAAAGGCACCAAAATACCCTTGAAAATAGCAGAACAAAAATTGAAATTGAGGTTAAATAAAATACAAAGGTTCATTTTCAAGGATTGCATTAAAAAAAACTTGCGTTGCACGGCCCATTACTGTACCATGTGTTTGATATACATGTACATAAACCAGATTTAAATTGCTGAAGATTTTCATGTTGTAGAACAGAAACTTTGAGATTTTCTTCAATTCTCCAACACATCCAATTACTTGTTTGTTTTTCCCCCCTCTCTTTCTTAGAAACCCGTCTCTATCAATGCTGAAGATGTGGTTCAGGTCATGGACAATTTCTTGACCAATTACGTCGAAGATCCCACTGTGGCTGAGAATGAGTCTATCTTCAGCAACGGAATCGGTAGGTTAATTAGATTGTGGGTTGGGTTTTTTTCAGACCCTTGAAACATCAGGGGTGGATCCAGGAATTTTGCAGGTTGGGGGGGGGGGGGTTCATCAGCAAACAAATTCTGAAATATACACAAGTTTTTTTTTCTCCTGACACTTGGCCTCTTTAAAATCAATAGGTGAGGGGTGGGGTGGGGGGAGGGGAGGGGGGGGGGGGGGGTTTCGTACCATACTTCCAATGGTTTTTTTGTTGGGGGGTTCACATTATTTTTAGTGTACAAAAACTCCATTGGGTTGTCTGAATGGGCGTCGCGAGGGGTGGGGGCAAGGGGGGGCGCTTGCCCGGAAAAGCAAAAAAAAAAAAAGAAGAAGAAGAAAAGAAAAAAAAGAGAAAAAAGAAAAAAGAAAAAGAGGCGCGAAGTCATAGTGGTGTAAATTTAATGAGGGGGGGGGGGCAAAATGTCCCTGCCCCCCTCTCAAACTGAGAAATCGCGAATATGTTGAGAAATGCAGGAATTCTTTGGGAAAAATGTGTTTTGCCCCTCTCTAGAAAAAAATCCTGGCAATGCCCATGGTTGTCTATAAAGGGGCGTGGCTAACTCGCAAACAGCGATAGGTCAATTGAACCTGGTAGCCTATTGTACCATGTCCCAGACAATCAGGAAAGAACTAGGAGGTTTCTAATTAAGTTGCTGTCTATCTGTGACAACTTGCCATCATGATTTTCATCTACATCTTGTGTTTTTTTGGGGGAATTATTCTCATTTTCTCTGTACTATTTCCGTACTCATTTCAGATGTACAGCTGGCTCCAGTTGATGGGACTGTTGTTCAGATGGATGACCTCACAAATGTGAGCATTCCAACAGATGCCTTTGACTTTGGTGAGAACCATTTTATTTCAGGAAAATTTCTAAAAATTTCAAATTTTTGTTTTGCTTTTATCTCGGACTGTTTTTCATATTAAAATGGTGTAAATCACATTTCTGTTCACATTTTCATAAAAAAACAGCAACTATATTCAAGCTTCTTCAAGATTTGAATAATCAGATTTTTCCACATTGCAGAGACACCAGTGTTGAAGTCGAGTACCGAGTACCGCCGAGTACTTAGGTTACTGAGTACGAGTAGAGTACGAGTGCTAATGCAAGTACTTGCATTCCGAGTACGAGTACCTCTATTTCTGAATATGGCCATATGGGCAAATGGTTCATTGTGCGTAATTGGCCCAGGCCTAGTCAGACCAATTTTATACAGACAATTTGTATTTACTCCCTTGTATTCGCTCTTTTCATGCTTCCGCCATAGGCATGCACAGCCTCGATCTGGCAAGTTTAGACAATGAAAATAGCTGGTTCAGTGATTCCCGTGTCGGGTTTCAGATCACAACACCGGCTATTTTCACTGTGTAAACTTGCCAGATCGAGGCTCTGCATTCCTATGGCGGAGCGTGAAAAGAGCGGATTCCAGAGAAGTGTGCAAAAAATGGCAAACATCAAGAAAGAAAAGAGCAGTTCTTAACCAAGTCATTGACAATGTGTTTATCAATGATCATGAGAGGAAACTGAAGAAAGAGAACAATTAAAACCTCCGAATAAGAATGAGTTTAAGAAACTTGGTTGTTGTCTTCCTCATTCCCTCAATCCAGCCATTTCTTGAAGTACTATATACTTCCCTGATGTGGATGTGTTATTTTTCTCTACACTATAGAAACCAGAGGTGTCAGAGTCTTGATTTGCCTCCTCAAGAGAGGACTGCAGAATGTGCTGGAACCTCAAGAAGGTGTCCAGCCCATTGACACAGGATTGTAAGTCCAGATTCGTTGAATACTATCACAAGTTTAACCCATTATAGCATCTGTATTACATTGTGTTTATTCGCTGAAGAATCCGTAAAAGAAGCACAACAATATGACTAAAAGTTTTAACTTCACCTTCTTTATACGAACCCAAAACATACAATTTTAAATTCCTCTATCTTTTCCTAAGAAAATCTTACTATTTTAGCAAGCATTTAAATTGGAAACGTCGGGAAAGTAATCTGAATGGATGTAAGGGTGTGTTCGTATAGCTCACCCGGGTCGACACGGGTAAAGGCGGTGTGATGCCCTTATTAGCTGTGGCCATAGCAAGTGCCAAAACCCCATTTCGGATTGGGTTTAAGTTTGAGATTTACTGCTTTTTAGTCAATTGCAAAAATAAAAAAAAGGTGGGCTGAAATTATATAGCCTCAAAAGTCGCAATGAACTCAATAAAGGATTACCTTTAGACTTCAAATAAAGTCAACCTTTAAGTCCACTTGAAATTTCCGCTGTCTGGCCGCCATGTCTGTTTCTAGGGAATGAACAACGCATGAGTGACGTACTTCCACCAGTGACTCTGCTCCACGAGCAGGGTCTGTGGTGGCTGACCCGGGAGAGCCCCAAGAATGACTTCAGAGCTAATCAAGCGGCACGGGGCTGACCCGTGTCGACCCGGGTGAGATAAACAAACGCACCCTAAAAAAAAAAAAAATTCTCTCTCTATTTTTCAATTTCCAGGAAATATTCCAAGAACCCAACTTGGAACATCACTGGTCCTATTGTTGTGATGCGTGTCTCTGGTCGCTCTGGCTCAGTCCAGCTGAAGAAGCCCGTCTCCTTTGAAATGCACGTGGATCCGGTAGGCCATCCCTGTTGTTGGGATAACAGTTTCCAATTAGTCTTTACTACATTAGTCCAATTAGTCCAATTACTACACCTCATAAATATTCATGATCAAATTGGAGTGCGTCATTGGCCGATTCCGCCGCGCGTCCGGGAAGTAAAAATGATACGCACCCAGGTGACGTACATCATCCTGGTGATCAGTATCCAGCTCGCTGCTAGGCGGCAGTTTATTCTGGTAGCACAAAAAAAATCCCTCTGGAACCCGCCTCGTAGAACATGTAGTCTATGGCATGAAAACCAGTCTGTTGTTGTAGTCCTTGTAACTACTGCAGTAAAGACACATTAAGGAGTGTTGGCACCAGACTATTCATTGACTGACGAAGAACTTGAATATCTTGTAGAGGTTGCACTGAAAAAGATGCAAAATCTACGAAGGCCGTTATCGACAAGGCAGTGAGGCCAATAACAGACAGTGCTATGTATGTTTATGAGGTAGTAAAACAAATACAGCATGGTTTATTTCTGGAAAGGTGTAGGTCAGCTGGACTATCTCCCTCCGCTTCGCGTCGGGAGGTAGTCCAGCTGACCTAAAATACCCATTCCTGTGGGCTCCGTGCACAAGTACCCCTTCAACAGCCAGAAAAGAAGTGGGGAGAAAGTTGGGGGAGACTTAGACTGGTTTCCGGTCCATCCACTGCCTATTTCGAATGATTCAAATTTACTGGGGGTGGGAATTGGTCTGGGGGACCATCGCAACTTAATTTCAAATGTGTTCGCGCGCCAACGATGCCTCACGCTCACGCGAAGACGATGTGGCTAAATAGCTTTGGCACATTCAGAACGTTGTGGGTACAGTGCTCGCATACTAGTACAATTCAGTACACACACGCTGTGTGCCTGTCCATCGGCTCTCAAAAGTTGTACAAAAGCGCCCTCTTTTGTTGGCACATTGAGTCCATTGGTCGACAGCCTGTCATGTGGTTTTAAACCGCCGGTAAAACACTGCTGCGTTCTGCGCCACGTCGCACAGTATGCACTGCGCATCTGCCAATCTCCAAATACCCGGTATGGAGGTGTTTTTTTTTCAAGCACTACACGCATGCGGCACATACCATAGATGTGCCCAGAAGGATGTTTCACAAAACATGAAGTAAAATTGTTGAGCAAAATCTTTGGAAAATAATCAATTTTTGACTTGTTTTGACTTTTTGACCGATAGGTTTTCATGAATGGGTTCTGCACGGGCCATTTAACCCACCCATGTCCCCTAGCCAGCTCTTGAAGTACTTGTTTGAAACCAGCCAATTAAGCACATTTTTGTTCATAAGAAGATGTTATAATTTTGTCCTCACATGGTTTCTTGTCTTGCCTCCTCCTTTATTGCAGTCGCTGGGAGAGGACCCCATATGTGTCTACCAGAAGGGGGCGTAAGTTCTATCATTTGTTATTTGTTTGTGTTTATTACATTGAATCTCTTTATTTTCTGCAAATTGCCACAAAGTCTTCATGAGTAAACAGCTGTTGCGTTGAGGAATAAGATTTGAGTCAAAATGTTAACCCACCGATAATTCCGGGAATCTCATGAAACTTTCAGAGGAGCAACATGTGGGTATGCTGACATTGGAGGGGGGGGGGGGAGGACACACATGAACAAATTTCCAAATCAACTAAGGTTTTGCCCTTCACCGACGTTTAAACACTGTATACTCAGTGTGTTACCTCCCAAGTGAAAGCTGGAAAAAAATCACTCGGGTGGGACTCGAACCCACGACCTCCTGCTTTCTAGTGCAGATGTCTTACCACTCTGCACTAGACACGGCGCAAAAAATTCCATCTTATAATAAACAAATTTCAGAGAGTGTACATTAATATACAAGGCAAGTAAAAAAAACCCGAAACCCAAATGTTTGGACCATTGTTTAGTGAAGTTCTGCATGTTAGCACTTTCAAATCTAGGATATGAAAGCCCAATTCATAAGCTTTCTTTTAGTACCTGAATCATTCAAATCACTTATGTACTTTTAAGTTACGGAGTTTTAAACACAACTGCCGTTTTAAGGTTCTGTGTTCTTTCAGCAAAATGAAAACAAATCACTTGTGTGTGAATTGTTTTTCCATTTTGCTGAAAGAATTACACACACTTCTTTTGTGATCCGTGGACAGAACTTTGAAACAGTGTTTGTGTTTAAAACTCCGTAACTTGAAAAGTACATGAGTGATTTGAATGATTCTTGTACTAAATGAAAGCATATGAATTGGGCTTCCATATCCTAGATTTTGAAAGTGCTACATGCAGAACTTCGCTTAAACAATGGTCCCGACATTTGGTTTTTTTTTTTTTTTTTACTCACCCTGTAGGTGTTTGTGTTTTAGTGTTATGTTGGGAATAAAGTGGGTGTTCAGTAATAGCTAAGCATTTTATGCAAACTATTCTGCCCTTAAAAGATTAACTTACATTTGAAACACTGAAATGAATAAACATGTCAGAAGTGTGAGTAATCATTAGTACAAATTCTGGCATGAAAACTTTTGAAATCTACTGTAATTTTTTTATGGGAAAAATGAGAAAAAAGTACCCAAAACCATCAATTTCTACCGTTTACCCTTGACTACCTGCAGACGCCTCCATATGATCGTACACACAAACAAATTAGCCAAAAGAATCCTACCTACATGTACCTACATTGTTTTCAAATGCCATGTTATCGGACGCAGAATTGTTTTTCTTTTTGGCCCAATGGAATGTTTATTAAATGCTACAACAAAATTAAGATACAGATGTGGAGAAATCATTATATCAAAATACTCCTGATTTCACTAAATGTAAGGTACAAAACTATCTAATCCCTGGTGAAAAATCCAGTTGAAAGTAGTTCAACTGGACTGGCTTAACTGGTTTTGAACTGGTTTTACTTGTTCCAAGCTAGTTATACTAGTTCAAAACAGTAAAACCAGTTAAAACCAGTTCAACTGCTACCAGTTAAAACCAGTTCCACTGCACTGGTTTAACTGGCTTTGGATTATGTGGTTTTTGAACTTGAAAAAAGCGAAACCCAAATGTCGGGACCATTGTTTTAGTGAAGTTCTGCATGTAGCCCTTTCGAAATCTAGGATACGAAAGACCAATTCATAGGCTTTCTTTTAGTATAAGAATCATTCAAATCACTCATGTACTTTTCAAGTAACGGAAGTTTAAACACAACCACCTATTTAAAGTTCTGTCCACGGATCATAAGAAGGTAAGTGTTCTTTCAGCAAAATGAAAACAATTCACATAGGGATGTGTGTGAATGGTTTTTGTTTTGCTGAAAGAACGCACACCTTTTTTTGTGCTCCTTGGACAGAACTTGAAAAAAGGTGATTGTGTTTAGAATTCCGTAACTTGAAAAGTGCATGAGTGATTTGAATGATTCTTGTACTAAAAGAAAGGTTATGCATTGGGCTTTCATATCCTAGAAGTGCTACATGTAGAACTTCACTATTAAAATCTATAGTCCCGACATTTGGGTTGTGTTTTTTTGACTCGCCCTGTATGTCTCATAGGACTTGTTTTCATGCGTATTCCTACTTCTCTCCTCTCTTGTAGGAATTGGTCTGGCGAAGGTGTAGAGCGGGGCAAATATGACAAGGACTGCCCATGTGTCATTTGCATGACATACCACATGACAAACTTTGCTGTGCTTATGGCGGTGGATGGAGTTCCGGTATGTCCTACAAACAAGGGCGGATCCAGGGGGAGGGCCAACGGCGGCCATACCCCCCCCCCCCCCCAAAAAAAAAATTCTAAGTGATGTTGCAATAAAGGCAGGCACTACAGTACATACGCCACCATCTTTTCCTTAAAAAAAAATTGGTTAAAGTGGTCAGAAATGGCCTCAGATCGCACCACAGAGCATCTAGAATCAAAACAAGATTCGGGGCTGTAATTTTTTGGACCAACTTTTTGGAATTTTTTTGGCCCCCACCCCAAATTTGGTTCTGGATCCGCCTTTGCGTACGAACTGCAAACGAACTGCTTTTTTTTCCTCAAGTTTCACCCCGAAAAGGACATTGGAATTGTTTTAAAATTGCCCTTTCGCTTGTAAATGAGACTTAAAGCAAAAGTCTGCCCACATATTTGCTTATGGAATATGTACATTAAAATTTCGAATTATTTGAACCCCGCAAAAATTCAGGGATACTTTTATGGTGCATTTTTACGGTTGGAAAAGCAACACAGAATGAAAGCGGATTTTAAGAGTGTTGTACAATTTACAAATTAAATAAGCATAGCTTTCCGTTAAAATAACACTCACAAATTGAAAATTCGTTGGGAAAAAAATGTTGAAGAACATGGGCAGAGAATTTTATTATTAAATTTTGTCCATTTTTTGTCCACCACTTGAAATTGTTAGGCTGTTAATTAAGTCATGCTTGCTTGACTTGTATTCATGGGCGTCGCGGGGGGGGGGGGGGGGCAAAATGTCCCTGCCCCCCCTCTAAAACTGAGAAATCCAGAATATGTTGAGAAATACAGGAATTTTGGGGGGAAAATATGTTTTGCCCCCCCTCTAGAAAAAATCCTGGCGACGCCCATGCTTGTATTTGTTATTCTTCCATGGATGCAGCAAATGTTCTGGAAACTCTTGCATACCTCCATCTTTACTTTTCTATCTTCAATTTGGGTGTTTCACAATGTAGTACACCATCAAGAATTTGCCACGGAGAGTTTTTCCCAGTGCATTGTGGGAGATGGTTGACAAATTTGCAGCGTGGGCTATTTGAAATTGTTAGTTTGTCCGGTCAGTAGTTTCGTAAACATATGATTTGAGAATGTGTTTGCCCTTTTCTTTTCTTTTTATCAGTATGGTGTTTTCTTTTCTTTTTATCAATAAACAGAACGCTATGTCCCAATCCTTAACAAATGAGCTCAAGTTGTCTACTGATACTCGTTCAAATGGGCCATGTTTTGTCGACCGGAAACTTAAAAAAATTGACTCTCCGTGGCAAACTCATAATGGCGCACCGCCGCGAGAAACGCCGAATTCAACCATGCTGAAAGAGGAAATCAACATCTATTTGTTATATTTTTGTGTTTTGTATCGCTAGTTGGAAGGACCCCACGCTTTGCTGTTGTCCATCATTTCCTACATTGGATGCGGTTTGTCTCTGCTGTGCCTAGTCATTGCCATCATCCTGTTCATCGTCTTACGGTAAGCACTGGAAGAGGAACACATTGATGAGGCTATCGTGTCTGTGTGAGCGGATAGTGTTGGCCCAAGACGTCAGTGATCAATGGCGATGGTTGCATTGTTGTAGAGCGCCCTTGCACCATTTTTTTTTTTTTTACTTTCTCGCAGTAACGTCTCAGGAAGTTTGCAGCATTTGGGGTGTGACCATTTTATGTAAATTAGACCGTTGGTGTAAATATTAATATCTTTGAACAAAACGGCAGCTTCCCATTTGATACCGGTAGTTGCGTGTTCGCGCGGTGGTATCACTGCACAGCATACCTAAATAGCAATGCTTGATCACCGCAGTAGTGCGCATGTTTACAACCGTCGCGCGATGCTTATAAACCATTTCACGATGATTATAAACATTTCACGAGCGACCTGTGCATCCACTGAGCCACTTTCCTGCCTCCCCTGTGCAACTTACGGCCATGGTGGCTCAAGGGTTGCCGTGGTCGCCGAATGGAGGCACAGCGGTCGCCACCGTCATCGTTCAGTGCACGCTATTGGTCGGCCAAAGGAGGCACAAGGGAGGGACAAAGGAGGCAGAAGCATCACACAGATTGACGATAAAATTGCAACAGAACGGATCTATTACATGGCAACCATTGGCCGACCATTGTGCATCCATTCTGCAACCACGGCAATGCTTGTGCCTCCCTTCTGCCTCATTTGAGCCGCCATTGAGCAACCAACCTCCTCAGCGACCTTCGGCGACTGTTTTGAACATGTTCAAAAATTTACGGCGACCATATGGCGTTCATGGCGATGTCTGAACATCCTGTGTACCACCTTTGAACGACCTAGGCAACCATTAGACCTCCTTTGAGCCTCCAACGGCAACCTGGCCAGCTTTATTGTCACACAAGGGAGGCCCAAAGGTGGCAGCCCTGTGTAAAGGGGGTCTAACTGGTTGAATTTGTTTACTTTTTAATTTGTAGAGAGTTGAACTCCACACGTATGGGCATAGTGAAGAATCTGTGTGTGGCTCTGTTCTTGGCACAGTTGCTGTTTGTTGCCGGGATAGAAACAGCAAAGGTTAACGAGGTAAGATTGTGTTAACAAGTGGTTTGAGGCTTGGGAAAAAAAATTGTCTGGTGACATAACCAAGCCAAATGGTAGTTTTCCCAAGGCACAGGATACCTGTACACCCATCATTTTAATGGACCCTATTAGCAATTTCCTTGTTCCAGGCAATCTCCCAAAAAAAAACCCAGGCATATGTTAATCAATTGTCACGTTCATACGTAAGAGAGAAAACAAAATGCCGATTTTGAGGTATTTTCATTTTGAGGGCAATTTTCGGATTTTGGTCATCCCCATCCTCTGCCACTCGCCGGCACAGATTTACGCCACTGGTTGCCTACGGAAATAACGTCAATTGGCTCAGCCCAAAGATTGTAAAACAAGGATGAAATATGTTGCTTTCATAGACCAAGTTTTGCAGTGTCTCAACATGTGACCAAAAAAAAAAGAAGAATCATCAGTTACACATGAAGATATGATATCTGAAAAACATTTCAGGGTTTTTATATCTCAAAGGAAAATGTTTAGATTCTTCAGGAAATGATACAAAATTGAGAAAGTGTTGCAAGCAGCAATCACTTGAACTGATTTGTACATAAAAGCTCAGTATTCTACAGACATACTTTGTTTTATAAGTGAAGCCCAGCTTTTTATCCCAATATGGCAATTCTGTGAAAAGAGGGAAAAGGTGAACAATCCTCAGTCAGTCAGTCCAATCCTACACAGATTGGATTCCTTTACTAAATTTAAGACTAAATTTGGGGGCGGTTTCTATTTTCAGTATGCCTGCAAGGCCGTAGCCGCCCTGCTTCACTATTTCTTCTTGTGCGTGATGGCCTGGATGCTGTGCAACGGCCTCTACTTGTACCAGAAGGTGAAGAGAGCCACCAGGCCTGGCAGCGTTGTGGATCTGATCTACTTCTGCATCCTGGGCTGGGGTAAGCCAAGTAGTAGACCCATCTGCTGCTATAACAAACATTGCGGTATCCACAGAAATTGTTCGTTATAGCGATCATTTGGTGTAGCAATTTTAAGCTGCTGGTGCTCCGGTACTCACTTTTCAATAAATAGCGGCCTGCAGAACTTCACCCTGCACGCCCTGGTAGTTACTACTACAACAACAACGTTTGGTATGTTTTGTACACAAAAATTGGGAGCCTGGTGTTCGGTGTAGCGGAATGTTCAGTATAGTGGTGTTCGGTAAAGCGACGTTCCACTGTTTTAGGTCCTGTCCACTTTTGGGCAACACATCACATGTGTACCTCAGCAGTGCCACACTACAGTACAAGATGCGCGCCTCATACAGAGCTGCATGCATATGGGACTCTTGTTGGAAATTCATCGTAATTTTTATGATAAAAATTGCATCATGGGGCCAGACTTAACAGATTGGTCCATTCGCTCTTTTCACACTCCGCCATTGGGCATGCAGAGCCTCGATCTGGCAACTTTACACGATAAAAAAAGCCGGTCCAGTGATCTGAACACCGACACGGGAATCACTGAACCGGCTGTATTTATTGTGTAAAGTTGCCAGATCGAGGCTCTGCATGCCCATGGCGGAAGTGTGAAAAGAGCGAATTGAGAGCTAGTCTGAACGCTAGCATTTCATTGTCTCATGAAGGATAAAGAGTCAGAGCACAGCCTGGCTGTCAATGTCCTAATGACCTTTGATGTCGGGTTAACTAATTTAATTATTTGCACACAGACAAGTTGGCACTGTATTCAACATGGGGCAACCAATTTACATCAGAAGCCATGAGGTCATTGGGTGTCCACTCATATAGACTCCATACATGAATAGTAGATGGTGACTTTTGTGACTGCTTTGACAAGAGCCCAATTGGGACAGAAACAAACACTGCATGCATGTACAAATCCGTGCACGTAGTGCACAATTTACGACTAACTTTACAGGCCTGTTCAAATGACCCCCCCATCATGCTCCCTTCAGAAATTAAAAAACAAAAACAACACAAATCACCACAAACAAATTCCACTTTTAATGACCCCCATGGTATTGTGTTTCCAATGTTGCACTGATAAACTTTTGCTCAAAAATTCAGGGGAAAGTTGCAAGGAAATGCCTCCGAGTTGCACCACATAGCATCTAGAATCCAAAACTTAGGCGACACATGCCATCCGCGGATCACTTGTTTTAAGATCCGTCATTTATGGAAGCAGACGTCTTAAAACCACTTTAAGCCAAAGGTGAAACCAACACAGCTTCATATCGTTGGAGATAAAGAAATTAAACCACTCTTTATCAAATTTGTCAGATTATGTTTGTAAATGTTAATTTTTTTGTTCAACAGGTGCCCCTGCTGTTGTAGTGGCCATTACTGCGGGAATTAACCACAATGTGTATGGAACCAAGGAGCTGTAAGTATAATGATGTATCACTGTGAACATCTTCATCCCTTAAAAATTTGTTAAAGAGCCATTTTCCCTTGAAATTACAGTTAACTAAATTTTCACGGATTTTTTAACATATTAAGCCAGATTAGGAGTCCGTGAAAACAGCCTTAAGAAAGTCCTTTGTTTACCCATGGAGATAGACCCAGTGTACTGTTATGTATAACCAATGATAATCCTCAGTGGCCAGGGTCATTAAAAAAACGTGAAAATACCCTTACAGGTTTAGTCCTATACTATGATGAGCCCCATGTAAATGTCCGTGAAACATCTCTTAAAGATCTTTTCACAGAGAAATGGACTTTTAATGAATTTCTAAGGGATGAAGATGTTCATAATAATGTTGAGATTGTTATATATTTGGGCGTGAAGGAGACATGTGACATGGTGAAGAGAACTGTAGTGATTTTAATTATGGAAAATGATACCTTTGATAGTTGGAAGACTATAAATGACTGTATTTATATCTCTTTATTCCCCAGGTGTTGGTTGTCGGTGGAGGGAAGCGGCATCTGGGCTTTTGTAGCCCCAGCCATGCTGATCATCATTGTAAGTTTGGCGTGAGGGCATCCTTCTCTTAACGCATTGACAGATCCTGAGTGGATGGGGTGGGGGTGGGGTGGGGCATCACTGTGCCCTTCTCCGGCACCCTGAGCATCAGGGGGGGGGGGGGCCATAGTACCAACCAGGGGGCCGACTACTATAAAAAAAATACAAAAATACATATATGGCTTTTGCTGTGGGGAGGGGCAATTGCTCGCCTATAGGGGCCTGGCCCCACCAGGCCCCCCCCCCCCCCCCCTTGGCAACGGGCATGCCCTTCTGCCCAAGCAAATACTAATTGTCAATTAGTTGTCTCCCATGGATTGCTGTGGCCTCGTGGTTAAGGGTATTGAATTTGTGGTATGTGGGTAATTCTGCAGGTTGTGGGTTCGAGTCCAGCCTGGGGTTATGGTGCATTATTATGGTGCATTATTAAAAAGAATTATCAGAAACATTATTAGAAAGAACTAACAGATTAAAAAAGCACCATGTAACACTTTTGTTGCACCCGCCCCCCCCCCCCCAAAAAAAGATGGTTCTGGTGATTGAACAGAAGCATTTGTATTTGTTTTTTTACATAATTTTACCTGCCTTGTTTTCCATTCAGTTCAATGCATTTGTGACATTCCTGACTATGAAGGCCTTCGTCTCAGTCAAGGTCTTCAAGGATAAGAACGACAAGGACAAATTCAAGTAAGAAGACTGGACCGTTAAGATTATACTACATTATGGTGAAGAGATATGTTTAGAGGACTATAGAATGAGTACCGGTATTATAGTAATTAAGGCTTGTGATCTTATCCTGAAGATCAACCCCAAACACAACATGTTAATTCTCAAAAACTGAAAAAATTTGAAATTGTCATTCATAAATACCTAAGACAGTTTACCCATTCCCATTGGTCAAGAGCCTGTCACGTGGCCGGTCTTAAACGGATGATAAAGTCATTGCTGGCCGGTCTTAAACACTTTTCCAGTGTCGCATGAAATTTTGATGGAAAATAAAAGGTATTTATGAATGGGAATACATATGTGCTTAGACGGTATTAAGCACTATGTTTAAGACTGGTTGGAGTCTGGAATGCTGATAATTACCCGAGGCGGTGCCGAGGGTAATTATCAGCATTCCAGACTCCAACCAGTCTTAAACATAGTGTTTAACACCTCCCAAGCACATGTTTTTTCCCTTATTAAAGGCACGTAGGAACCTTGGTAATTATCCTGAAATGGACCTACATATTTAATTTTTTTAAAAATTGCTAAAAGTGAAGATAGGGATGATATCAAATACCCTGTGAATTTATTCAGCCTGATATGATATCATTCCAAAGACAACAATCATTGAACGTGCACTTTTTTTTACAAGGAATCCATTATGATGAGACCGCAAAAAATTGTGTATCTGTTTTCTCAAAATGTGTTTTAGACACTGAGCTGAAAGTTTCACCTGTAACTTGTTATCTACCATGTTCTCTAGATTTTGTGCGATTTCGTTGCTTCAAATGTAGAAAAAAAAACAGATGCACAAAAAGCAAATGACGAAGTTTGACAAAAATCTTATAGAATGTTGGCTAGTTGACAATGGTTGGGGTAAACCTAGTTGACTGTTTGATTCAAGCCTGCAGGTCACATTGCATACCGTAATACCGAACTTCAGTATTGGCGCATAGATGCAACCTACGTCACAAATCAACCGCAGGTCTTCAACTTGCTGACGATTACTTAAGACTATGCACAAATCATTACTGGACCGAGCCCAGTCTAATGTGGCTTTCTTAGATGTAGGTAGCTCTCCAGCACTTAACTGGTTCGTCACTCGTCACTTAAATTCTGATGGGAGGCAGCATGGAGCTATAAAAAAAGGCTCCATGGTATGATTAAGGACAAATTATGCCTGCCGCCGTATGTGCGAACATATTTATGGTCCCTAACTGATTGAGAAGCCATTATCTCAGTGGGATGCTCATGAATAGGAACCCGGGAATCCCGGTTGGCAAAAGCCACATTAGACTGGGCTCGGTCCAGTAATGTCCGTCACTAATATAGCTGTTCATGCATGAAATGTTCAGATGTTTTTTCTATGTTCCTCCTCAGGTCGGGCCTGCGTGCTGTTGTCGTGATGCTGCCCATCCTTGGACTGTCCTGGATCTTTGGACTTCTGGCTTTTGGCGATTCTGGAATCTTTTTCCAGTACCTGTTTGCAATTTTCAACTCCTTACAGGTATTTCAATGCTTATATTTCAAATTTTGTAAGCGCGGTGAACTATTTCCAAAATCCTGCTGAGCTAAAAAAAAATCACCTGAAAATCGCATACATGAAACACCTGCTTCTTGGAAGAAGTTTGCGGACAGGGCCCAATTTCACGGCGCTGCTTAACAGTTAGCAGAAAAGTTGTGTTTAGCATAGCAGAAAAATTTGCTAACCTTGAGCACTATTTCACGGCGTGTGTGTGCTAACGGTCGCGTGTGCATGGAGATTTCTATTGTTACGTTACTGCGTCAAGCAAATTTTTCCTCCGCGGTAAGCATGCCTTTTGCTGTGCTTATGCTTACGGTCTCCATGAAATAGACGAAGGCTCTGTTAGCATAAAATCGTGTGCTTAGCAGCGCCGTGAAATTGGGCCCTGGTCTGTATAGTGTGAAGTGACTCAAAAGCAGCAGTGTCATGCTTAGAAGAATCACACTTCTGCTTTTTTGTCATTATGACCTTTATTGTCGTAAGAAGATCCCCATTTGCTGTTTCCCAGGTTTACGGCATTGTTATGTTGCTCTATAGCATCGTGACTTTGGGTGTGATCTCTGGCTACATGGCATATATATGAGTTAATGGCTTCTGACTATAGCGCCCTTGAACAAAGATATTGACAAAATGGGGAACCGCCAACATAGGGCTGGATAGCTCAGTTAGTAGAGCACAGGAATGGCAATACAGAGGTCGCAGGTTCAGACCCGCTCCATCAGTCAATTTCTTGTTCGCTTTAAAATGATTACAGTGCACCTAGTCAGTTTCCTTTTGTGGTGTGTTTGAAAAGTTAGAAGAAACTGGTGCAAGTAAGAGCATATTGGTCATTGCTGTGGTTCTTCCTAAAACCACCTCTCTTTCTACAGATAGTCTCTTCACTTGGTATATCTTTGACATACTAAACAGAGTGCAAAAAAGTGTCCAAAATTTTGTCACCGACACCACGAACTGACACTCAGTTGTTCATGTGTGCCTGATGACACGTGTGCGTATTTTAAAGAACCTTGTTATTTACATTTTTCACAAACTGACACTGATCTTAATTTCACTAGTAAAATTGTTTTTTTAATTAAATGGTTGTGTAAACCCACAATTATGGGGATGGATTAAATTTGTGTCAAATATTTCATAGTGTTTTTATCCGAGTTGTATTGCCACTACATGCTTGCGTGTCACTTCAAAAATGAAAATTGTTCTATTACGCTTCATTGTCGGTGTGCACGCGCACACCCAGGCGTCAGTTTGTGAAACCGAAATGGTTGATTATGCAGCTTTCCTACACTGACATCCACTAGCGCCTCAGTGTCAGCTCGTGCCGTCAGTGATGATTTGTTATAAGCTGGGAGAAGTCCCCGTTAATTTTTGTTTTTGCCGCGCATGAATATTCTAGCTTTAATCAATCAATTTAAATGATTGAAAATCAAACAACTGTGTCTGAATTTATCCCAATGATCTCACACTTTTGCTTGTAGCTGAGGGTCACAGATAGAGTCATCGTCATGAATTATTCCTCATAAGATTTTGTTCAACTAATGGCATTTGTCTTTTTAATTTCAGGGCGTGTTCCTGTTCATCTTTCACATCTTACTCAATGACGAGGTATGTAAATAATCTTCTTGGCTGGAAGATATTGTAGTGTTATCCTCTAACACAGTGAATGTGACAAAAAGTTAGAATCTGAAGCAATCTGAGGCAAAAGTGGAATCGCTGGAGATTGGGCTCAAATAATTAGCTACATGAGACTAGCATATCTGAGGGGAAGGGGATTTGACCACTCCCCCCCCCCCCCCACTTGTTGTTTTCAGAATTTCTGTTCTTGTTAGAAAAATGGTCTGTTGGCATATATGCTGAATGTTGGATGAAAAGCACTACCTAATGTCAGACAATATCCAGCCCTTCTGCTGTAATTTTTTAAAATTAAGTGGAAGCTAGGAATATATTTCCCGCAATGGTCTTTCATTTGCACTTTTATCTGGACTGTAATTGTCACTTATGATGACTTGATCACAATTCCAATAAAAAAAAATAGATAGCGGTATTTTAAAGGAAATTTGACATTTTTGTCATGTTAAATATTTTACGCAGGTCAAGGGAGCGATGCGACGACGCTTTGGCAAAGTTGGAGCCTCTGGAGATGAGAACATGCTATTCAACAAGATCTGGGTGAGCAGAACTTTTTGCTACACATGACCACACGAGATGTGAAATGGCAGTCAAGCTCTCGTTATAAACAAAAACCGAGAATCTTTCTATTTTACTCATGTGATATATAGTCTTAAATGGGGAGCGAATTCAATCACATTTCTGCTTTGCATGTCCTTTGGATATTTTTAAATCTTTGTGGTTCAACAATCAGCCCCCTCAACTCTCAGAATTTAAAGGACTAAAAATTATGGTCAACTCTTAATGACCACTCCCTGAAAGTTACCATTTAAATCTAGGCCTTATAGATCCTTGCCCTGTTTTGCAGAGATGCCACAGAGAATGGGATTTCATGACTAGTGTAGAGGAAGTCAGTAGTCATGAGTTGGCAGAGTGTTATACATTGAAGACAAAACTAAAATGATTAGTTTGGCACACTTTGGAAGTCATGGGAGTTGGCTACTCTCCTGGATAAAGTTAGGCAACACAACGAGACCAAAACCCCACAAGCTAATTATCAATCAAGAATTGGCTCAATTTGAATTAAAAAAAAAATATTAAAGTACATGATAAACTTCTAGAAAATCATCAAATAATAAACGCAGAAATGCTACTTTTCCTCAGATCCACAGATTTCCAACTTTGTTTTCTATTTCTCATGAATGCCATTACAAATTGAAAAATACTGCACAAAGTTGTGTGTGGTTTTGAATTTCCTTGTTTTGTTTCTAAGTTCCTAGTTGCATGCCTGTAAACGATGTCAATTAATTGTGATCAGTTTACGCTCAAGGACCACAAGGAACAACAGAATAAAGAGAAACTTGTTGAAGCAAGTTTTGTCGTAATGAAGAAAAAGACAACTTCCCTTAATAATATAAACCCACTTTTAGTTAGAGGTGAAAACATTGAGAAATTATCAAGGAGAGAACCCTCAAAGATGCCTATCATGTTTCCATGGCAACTCATAGTTAAAAATAGGTAAACAACAATGACATTTGATGTGTCCTACAAAAGGTTCATCACATTGGATCGAGGTGTGACCACAAACCCATCATCAAATGAGTATCTCGCATGAGCCAATAAAAAAGATGTTTCTCCACATACGTTTTAATCAATGAAATCCAACTGATGTTTGCTGTTTATCCTCCCACATTTAGGCCTTCTCCTCCACTACTGAGAAAACTGAGATGTCATCGGTCACCCAGCATGACAGTATGTATCTTTGTTTGTTTGTCTGTTCTACATCCTTTCCTCAATGTTTAAAGCTATAGTCCATCATTTGCAGCCATCCGGAAAAGTAACTGGCGTATTATTGTTGAAAAACATACTTGGTTGAAAGACAGTAAGTGGACTAAACTCCCTGTGAAATTAATCTTTCTGGCAAGCTATCATTTTGAAGTAATCAACGAAAGAAGGCCTTTCCAACGGTGCGTCTTAAGATGCACCGTAGGAAATTTTAAATTAGTAGTTCGTTTTGTTATTCGGCGCAGCGCGCGCGTTTGCTATAGTTCATCGGATCAGTACGCGACATCGCATATATAGCTGCAATTCAAAACATGATTCAGCAACATGATTCAGCAACTTTTGATTTGAAATTGAGATCCTAGAATGCTGTTTTTCTCGGAATATACAGCTGAAGCTGAGCTGAAATTCATCAGGTTAGTTGTTCAGCATCCTTCATTAGATTTTGTTGCTTCAAACGAACAAAATGCACAAATTACAAATGATGGACTATATCTTTAAAGCAGACTTTTCTTCAATATTTTTCACCCGAGAGGGAAGTCAAGTGATATCAACTTGAGGCCAATGACTAGACTTTTACATGTCCAACCATGATCCAACTGTTTGAAAAGACTGACCTCTTCATTAGTCTGGTAGCTGACTATGGAGAAACATGTAGAAATTGAGACACTACCAGACATGCCAGATGTTTCTTTTGGCACTGTTGATTAATGCAGTACTGAAGGGCTGTTGGACTAGTTGTTTCAGGTGCCAGTCTATTTTCCTGTATTGCATTGTTTTTTGATACCTTAAGTTTAGAACTCTCATACACAATAGTGAGAGTCCAAAATTTTCGGACTACAGGGACCCCCCCCCCCAAAAAAAAATGTAATGCTTAAATTTTTGCCTTTTAAAAAAAAAAGGATTGGTGGATTTTTATGTTTTTGGTATCAGATTAAAGCGGAAAGCTATTTGGGTTGCTGAGAAAATGCCAATTATGTAAAAGTAGTCATTTTTCATCCTGTACACAAGTACTTCAAACAGTGAAACATTTTATTGTAAGCCTACCGTGCAATCATCCTTCATTTGTGCAATTTCTTCAGTATTTTGACATATTTATGATGCTGAAAAAAGGTTTAAAATAGGACTAAAATGAGATACCTGTTCAGGTGGAAAATAAAAGTTAATTCCATCAAATTCATTTGTAATCTTGTTATACTATGTGCCATGTTGTTTGTTATGATTAGGACATTCACAAATAGGTTCAGTGAAAATCCCTTACCTTTTTTTTGTGGTAATTTTTTTGTTGTGTACAGGATGAAAAATTACTACCTTCACATAATTGGTATTTTCTCTGCAACCCAAAGTTCTATTTTCGTGATATTTTCAGTATTTGAAAGAAAAAGCTCTCAGCATTAATCTGATACCAAAAACAAGAAAATCGACCAATCCCTTTTTTTTTCAAGGCAAATGTTTAAGGGTTGCATTTTTTTTTGGGGGGGGGGGGTCACCCAGTAGAACAGCATGTGCAAAATGCTTCTTCTGATATCTAATTTCTTATACCTTATCTTTCTCCTGCAGAGAAACTTACTAAACCGGTCTACAAGAACTGAAATAGCTGTGGCTGAAATATGCTGACACTGATGTATGTATTACCATCACGTTTTGTATTTTCTGAAAGCTTGGTGTTGTCTCTCCATTCGGTTTTTGACATCAACTTTCTAAATGTTGAGGCCCCTGACTTTTGGGATTCTGCTGTTACTAAAGTGAAATCTCCATAAGTCAAACCTCAGTGGAACTGGCTCAAATTTTGAGTTAAGCAGAGTTTCGAGTTATCCAATGGATTTTCTATTCAACAACAATTGGCGGGAATGAGTTTTTACTTTGAGTTAGAAGGGTTTTTGAGTTAAGAGGTTTTGACTTATCGAGATTTCACTGTGTCAGGTATGAGGTTGCGTACAATGACCTTCAGTCCAAGCTGGTAATAGACAGATAGATAATGGTGCATTTTTATGAGGGGATATAGGCCCCAGAGTCGTCTTTCAAAGTTATGAGCTGGGCTACCGATCGGACTCCATGAAATAGCTCACAGCTTTGTCACAATGTTTTGATTGATTTTGGGGTGTCTAGTGGGGCACATAGGGATAATATTTGGGGGTTGTTCACTTTGATGATAAAAGCATGGCATTTGGCACACGGTCAGAGTATATCTTAAAGAGGTTGTGGAATGCTGAAAGTCGTTTTGTTTTTTATATTTTTTATTGTAGAGTAGACCCATATATATCAAAATGACAAAGTCCCATTCTTTTGTAATGTGCGTTTATATGTTTATAAAACTGAAATTCATCGAGTAATTTGTTGGTCGGCGAGCGCATAATTGAAATCAACAGTCGTCGGGTTCTTTGTAAAATGAGAAAAATCGTGACGTAATAAACAGGACTCGTTTATACTACAGTCCTGTTTATTACGTCACGATTTAGTATGTTTTGTTTGCTGCCCCCAACGACGACTTTTACACAAATTGCACGTTCGGGTCGAACCAGTACCTGAAAAATAGCTCTGAAAAGTACCTTTTGTACTCATTTTATGACAGACACAATAGTCGTTTTTATTTCATCACACCTTAGGCTACATATACCCCAAAAATGACGGAAATGTCTTTGAGCATTCCACAACCTCTTTAAAAATGATATTTGGCTATTGGGCCATTGCAGATTTGTCCTTTGTAAAAATACAGGTAGAATAACAAGCAATTTACAAAATTTTCCAAATAGCTGCCATTGCTTATAATTCTACCTTTATTTTTTCAAAGGACAAATCTGCCATGGCCCTATAGCCCAATATCTTTCTCATGACATATTCTGACTGAAGTCGCCTGAAGAACTGATCCTCTACTTTGAAATTGTCGAGAAAGTTTTCTGTCAAACTGTGAATGTACCGGATTTGTCAAAGTACTACGTTGTCAGGGTGTACAGTGTATGAAAACTATTACAGAGCCCAAACAATACTAACTTCAATATTGTAAATTTTTTATGGAGCTGATGTATGTCTTAATTAAACACATGCGAGTGCAAAATAAGCTCTGGACGTGTTGCAAGAAGTCTTGCATGAAATCTATCAAAATGATCCCTGCGCCAAAAAATGCGACGCCGATGATATGGAACACCATACTTTTGGTCAATTTTCAGAGACAGACAGACAGACAGACAGCACGACAGACCGACCGACCGACCGACAAGTGACATGTAGCAGTAGTAGTAGTAGTAGAAACAGTAGTAGAAACATTTATGTCAATGTTGCCATTTCCACACAATAAAATGTTACAATGCCGTGTTAACATATTATACAGAGCAAAATGCAATGAATTATGTAATTGTGTATAATAATGTACATGGATCAATACTAGAACAAATTTACGACAACATTTAGGTAAAAGGTGAAGCGTCACGCTTTTGTACCCTAACCTATCGACAGACAAGTGGACATGACCGAGAAAAACAGAGACAGTGACAGAGCTTAAAGAATATTTCCCACACTGTTGTCTGCAAACTTCATCATTCTTCAATTGTCTTTTTGCATTTCAGCTGCAGCATTTGCCACAGGAATCGACCTACCTATCGGTGCATGAAAAATGTATATACATCAAGTAACCGAAATCTTTGTCAGTAAACATGTTTTGGTTGTGAGAGGAGTAAACTTTTGGACTGATAAACAAAAAAAAAGTAACTTAGCCCTAGTCATTCTATGGTCTGATAACAGAAAACTAAGAATGGATGTAATACTTACAAGCACTTCACCTATTTTGTGAAATAAAACTCTAGGATTGGAGGAGACTTTTGATTTTCTGATTTTTTGTGCCACAGACGTTAACAACTAATAAGCACATATTGTTCTAAATCCCCTTAAAATCCTTCAAGACTTAAAATTGTATATAAAAAGAATGCAGTATTAAATAAACTGCACTGTAAAATATCTGTTTGAGTTTTAAACGTAATAGCTGTAGTAATGTGAAGAGTGTTGATATTTTGTGAAGTGTGTAGGTTTGGTTGCAGTTATATTGTAAGCAATTTGGCGGATCATATTGCATGTTGGCACTCTATACTGATGACTGGTTCTGTCCTTTGCCTCCTCGATGACCAAATCTAATAACTGTGTAAATAGGCAAGGATGATTGGCTCATATATGATAAGTTAATACGAGTAGGTTATTTTGGAATGTTGTCAGAGGAGGGGGCAAACTGTAGTGCATTTTACATTATATGCAGGCGCGAATCCAGAGGGGGGGGGGGGGTCATAGAAATACATAACAAAATAATGTGAAACCCCCCCTGCTCTGACACCCAAAACAATTATACTGTATACTCTTAATAATGACCCCCTGTGCACAAAATTCTGACAGCGCCAGCTGGGTTATGTGGATATTTGTACACTATTCTGTAATAGTGTCCGGGATTTGAACAGTGCCCCCATTGAAAGTATGGTACGAATCCCCCCCCCCCCCTCCCCTGCAAAAATTCCTGGATCCGCCCCTGATATGAATCTGGTTTTGAACAACTTGAATGCTCAACAACAAAATGGGGAAAAGACATGAATAGTGCATGTTCTGAGTAAAGGACAAAATAACTGGTGTTGACGAATCGGAAAATGTTCGTTTCAAAAATGCCAAAAATATTGTAGGTGATTATTTTTTTTTTAAATTTGGTATATCTTTTATTTTCTAGATTATAGATAATTATTGTAGCTTTAAATCGTGATTTTTCCTTTTCAAAGACGATATTTTCGTACTCAGATTTTTCGCTTCTACTGATTGTTAAATTATTGTGTAAATTACCTGGGCTGAAACTGAACCCAAAACAGTAGGATTTTTATAGGTTTTTGGCGATAGTTTGTCACTGTATTATAAAAGTGCTTTACATCAATTAAGAATTATTTCAATTATTATATCATTGAAAGTGCCATTAGTGATTTCCCTCGATATTGAAGTCAAAAGTTTCTTCTTGTGTGGACGTTGCAATAATTTGTCCATGTATAACAATTCGATATCCTGTTAAAAATCAGAAATCTGCCAGGAATTTCACAATAATAGCAGATAACGGGTGTATACCCCTGTGCTGCTAAAAAAAAAAAAAACCTGCTGGTCTGCTGGTTTGAGGCATACAAAAACTACTAGCAGTATGTTCGGACTAAAGACGCAGTCCAGAAAAAGCACCAAAAAGATTAATGCATCCTTGACAATTTTTTCTTAAACCCTCAGACAAGACCAATATTTGTTGCTTACATTGGTCTCCAGTGCAAAGAAAGCTAATTATTTTCTGTGTTTGCGAGGAAAGAAATTCGTTTAGTCTGTGTGGCGATCAGAAATACTTGTCAGCATTGAGATGTCCTTTTGACCCGTATTCCGTACATGATGACGAGCATCACTCGTTGTCCGAGTAGTGACCTGAGCAAACACCGTGTTTACACATCGTGTGTTGCGGGGCCGAGACCCGTACGGATCGCGCCAAATTACGCTCCGAGGAGAGCTTACCGTAAAAAAAAAAAACCAAGATAAATGGTTATCCTTTTCGTTAGAAGAAAAAAAGGATGGGGACGTCATCAGATTGTACTGGAATTGTTTGAATGGGATGTCCTGTTTGGGTGAAAATAAAAGAAAGTTCATAAATTGACCTTGATTTGATAGAAGGTCCTAACGTTGGTCGTTAGCCACCTAAGTTACTTCATTTGCTACAATATTCGATGATTGGTGGACTTATGCGGTACTCGGGCTGTTGGTCGCATTGATATTTCTACCTCTTTTGAATGTGAACATCGAATTTATTTGGAAGAAATTTATAAAGCATGCATGGAATTCTTTAAATGGGAGATCCTGTTTGGGGTGAGAATAAAACAAAGTTCATAAATTGATTTGAAAGGAGATGCTATAACGTTGGTCGTTAGCCACCGACAATACTACTTCATTTACTACCTCTTTTTAATGTGAAAATCTAATTTATTTGGTAGAATCTTAGTATAAAGCATGTTTGTCGATGTGAGTGACTGAAATCGAAGTGAATGTATTTCAAATTCTCAATTTCAAAAGTGAGCATAGTCTCCACTCTAAATTTTTGGATTATTGATTAATGGACAAAATATATGTTATACATGTATATAAAAACGTCTTTGTATTTTGGATTGGTACAATACATACATAGTTTTTAACACTAACTTCAGTACTGTGCAATACAAACTGTTAATTGATCTTGTACCGAACCGAATCACAACGAACTGCACATAAATAAATTAACATAAATTACACTGTATTTACATAAATTACCACGTATTAAAGTTGGTGTATATGTTATGTTTACGAGCTTTTTGGGTGTGGCACCTTGAAAAATAGCTTTTCAAATTCAATTGATAATTTTTCCGGCATTACATTAGTTATGAGCTTTCCAACGAGACATCGCGCGAAAGAAATCGGCCCACGACAAGTAATCAATGAATTAATTTCAACTTTAATTCGTTCTGAATAGTGTGCGCAATTTCTGAACTGGAGCGCGCAATTCAAAACAACTTTTTTAAAAACTGTATAAAGGCCTGCAAAAACAAACAAGCAAATTTATTTGTTACAGGTCATTATAGTCCTTTAAATTTCGTTCGGAAAAGAAAATCGAAATTTTGAAAATGCATGTGCACACCAACTTTAACATAAACACTTTATGAGGCTGAAAGTAATGTAATACGTCCGGATATCACAACGAAGAATACAACTGATCGCTAATAGTTATATTTAGTATGCATATAATTATGATGTGAAAGTATGTACCTACTGTAACATTAATATTGTAATTTTTGTTAGCATGTCAGATTCGAACCCATTCAGTCGAGATGAAAACATTTTTGGAAGTAGAATTACATCGAACGTGTGTGTTGATATATATCTAGTGGACGGCATGTGCTATTTAACCTTATAAATATTAAATGTTATTCAGATGTTATTGTCTATGATTTTCGAAGAATATGTACTACGAAAGTGCCTTATCACAATTATCGATATTTTATGCACGTTTTGATCTTCTGTTTATGCATTTATGTATACATAGTCTAAAAACACCAGAGAGTTTTATTGTGTAAATTATTAGAGATGGGTTATTTAGTATATTTATCTGTGTGATATAATGAATGTGTTTATTGGTGATAACAAATATATTACAAATCAGGAATTTCGGGAAAACAATCGTTGTTGTTTATTTCAGATCCGAGTTTCAATCTTGGCTGAACAGCAGGAGTCGAAATGACCTGCACCCCGTAAAACAAAGATCACCATAACGTTCGCGTTGATGTGTTTTAGACTGATATTCATTAAAAGGCACACGTAGGAACATTTGCAATTTTTACCGGAAACGCACCTACCGATTTAACGAGAAACCCTGGCTCGAAGTGCAGACAGGACTGGTACCAAATACCATGTGAAATCACTCCGCCTGAAATTTTATCATTAGGAAGAAAATTACTGAAGAAGGTTAAGAAAAAACTGCCGACAGGCAGCATTTTACGTGCGTTAGCAGTGGAATCCGGTCATACAAGACCCCAAATGTTAGGCATACGTTTGTTTTCTGTTTTCTCACAATGTAGAATATCCACTGAACTGAAACTTCAGCAGGTATACGTTGTTAGCGATATTGTTGCTTTAACGAAAAAAATGCACAAAAAGCAAATGGTCCTATTGCCTTTAAGACTACAATACTGTTGAATGTTAATAGCTGTCAGTGCATTTTTGTTAAGAATTGCAATGACATTTTTAAAATCATTTCCCGTCAATAAACACATCGCCTTGAATACAGCATTTGTCATTTTATGATGTTTATATTGTGTGCGACATGTATGGTGTAATTTTGACCTTTAATGATCGCACCGCTGATGGCGTTTTCCGGAGGGGGGGGGAGGTCTTTTTCCTGCCCGTGGTTTTGTGGTGTAGGCCTAATGGGGTTTTTTCTGCCTTTTAGTCAATTACCGGAAAGGGGGAAATTGAGAGCTTTATTCACTGTTCTGACATACCTCCCTCACTTGGCCTCTCTAGCACTGAGAAAGCAGGAGATGTTTACATGTTTAAAGGGCAAGCATTGTAATTTTTGTGGATGCAATCCACACCTTTGTGTCCTACTTAAAAACAGTTTAAATATTTGTTTTGCCATTTTCAAGGGTATTTTGGCGCCCTTTTGGATTTTATGCTTATGCGGCTGTCCATATTCATGAGCAAAAGTGTGATGTCATTTCAGGCAGAAACCTCAATGTTACTTACAGCTATCTCGGCACCAAATGTTGCCAGAAATTTGGATATTTCGCTGTCATATACACAGGGTGAGTCTTAAAAAGCAATCACATTTAATTGATACATCAATGAAGTCTGTCTCAAAGGAGTAAAGCATTGCTGAAATTGATCCATGCCATCAGAAGTTGTGCATATTTTACTAGAAGAACCTGGAATGCCATTGGAAGCTATTGAGCTGAGTGAGAATTACAGACAACACACAGACATTGATCATTTGAGTCAAGACTAAAACATTATTTTTACTGTCAGACTTTGCGATCTGAAGATGAGGTACAAGTCAACTTTTTTTCTCCTGAAATATTGATGGCGATTTTGTCTGTTTTCCTTTGCAACATATTCGTTTATTCATGGAGGTGGGAAAATGCCCTCATTTCATTGTATTTAATGGGTATTCATTGGCTAGTAGAACGGTAAATGATCAATGGTGCACAACTGATTTTTGTGACCTTTTTATTAAACTATAGACATAACTTGGTAATAGGGTATGCAAATTACGTGAACATTTCACATTTCACTAGTCAATAATATGTACTTTATCCCTATGTTATTTTTATGAAATGGAGGGGTCACATTATTCTTTTACATATTTTTTTTCTAATTCCGCCACTTTCTTTTTCACTCACTCTGTATGTCTTAGTACTGTATCATTTATAATAATTTCAATAATCGATTGATATATTGGGTCAATCCGATACATTTAACGTGTTTGATGTTTTTAATATGCCGGGCCACGATCATTGTTCCATGTCTCTCCTATGGGCAAGCGCAAACAGAGGCGAATTGCAACCTTTGTAAACGCCAACATTTAGCGTTTTAGATCGTTTAGCGTTTTGTAGCGTTTAAAAGCGTTAAAGCGTTTCATAGCGTTTAATAGCGTTAAAGCGTTTTATAGCGTTAACTG